TGCTATCTGTCAGGGCCCAGCAAGGTATGGTTTTTAAACAAAACCCCAGATTAGAATTCAGAGGATTTGTCTATTAGACCTGCCAGTGATCCAGTGTATAGAATTCCTGATCTTTATCCCAAAGTGGTGCAAGATGAAGGCTAAGCAACTCATGAGATTTCTACAAAGACCAAATAAAAGATGTAACATGTTCCTTGTAAACTGGAGAGTAGGAAACAGCCTCAGCACTTTGTGAGCACAATTCACTCCTGCAGAGAGTGGAAACCGAGTCAGTTCTGAGCACTGAGCTGCCCGTTTGCAGGACTGATGACCTCAGAAAGTCCCACAGAGCCAGTATCATCATCTCGGAAGTGTCCTAGAACTGTGAAACCTTGCTGAGGAAGGAAATCGGAAGGCACGGGGAGCGTGGCTCTGCTCCCACAGGGGTGCCCAGGGGAAAGCAGGCTGGAGCCCTGGAGCACAGCCACAGATCTGGGGGCTGCAGAAACACACAGGCTCAGACACACAAACATGATGCAGACAAACACACACAAACCTGACACAGACACTCACATACACACAAACTTGACACACATTCACACATACAAACCCTGACACAGACACATACACACACACCACACATACGCACATACCTCACACATACACCCGAACTTGACACACACACAAATTCTGACACAGACACACATATACACACAAATCTGACACAGATACAGACTCACAGGTACACACAATCCCCTACACAGACACACACAAACCCCAGTTTAGACATAAAGTCACACAAACCTTGATAAGACACAGATTTACAAATAGATACATAATAGTACAGTGGGGAGGGAGTTTGCCAGGTTCAATCCCTGACATCCCAGCTGGTCCCCTGAGCATGGCCAGGACTGATCCCTGAGTGCAGAGCCAGGAGTAATAAAGAATAAAAATCAGAAGCCCCTGAGCATCACTATGTATGGCCCAAAAAGCAAAATAGAAACAAAAAACACAAATATATACACAAACCTACACACACACACACACACACACACACACACACACACACATACATACAAACACAGAGACATACACATACACACAAAGCCCAACACAGATATGCACACAAACTCTGACACTCCCCCACACAGCCGACTATCGCCTGCACCTCCACCCCCTCCCAGTCCCCCATGGACTCGGCCTTTGTCCCATGACCACAGCCTGGGCAGTGTGACCTTGGGAACGTTAAAGCTGCCCATGCTGTATTCGTTCCTGTGCAAACCTTCTCAACCCCCAGGGCCAGCCAGATGGGATGGGGTGCAGAGATGCCCCTGGAGTCAGGCCAACCTGGGAACCCCTCATGGTCAGTCAAGGACTTCGGGGCAGGACCAGGGGAGAGGCCAGAGTCCTAACCCTCAATCCCACTTTATCTACAACCCTTTTCACGTTTGAATGTCACTAGACCCAAATTTACAAATTTCTCCAAATTTTTTGGAAAAATTTCAAATTATCTAAAAAGAAATAAAAATCATAAGCAAAGGCATCTCCAGGCATGCAAAAAAGTGATGTCACAAGAAGTCCCACAGTTGGGGCTGGAGCCATAGCACAGCAGGTAGGGCGTTTGCCTTGCACACAGCCAACCTGGGTTTGATTCCCAGCTTCCCATATGGTCCCCCGAGCACTGCCAGGAGTAATTCCCGAGTGCATGAGCCAGAAGTAACTCCTGTGCATTGCCGAGTGTGACCCAAAAAAGCAAAACTAAAATAAAATAAAATAAAGAAGTCCCACAGTTAGTTGGAGGGGGATGGCTGGAAAGGAGGGTCTCGGCACAGCCCCTCACCAGGACAGCCCCAACACCGCAGGGTCTGAAGCACAACCTAGCCAGGCCTGAGCGATGAAACATTACAGGGAATGGTCCCGGAGCCTTCAGCACCCAGGAGAAACACACCTCACAAAATAAAAGGAGCATCTTGTGACCCCAGGAGCAGCTGACACGGGGTCCAGGATGAGCTTTATGGGGCAGACCAAGTGGGAACATGCGAAATGCTCAGGACAGGCTCAAAGGTGGCCTGCTGTACTGAGCCCTGGCCCACACCAGGCACAGGTAGGTGTCTCCAGCCCCCGGAAGGGTCCCCTCCCTGCCAGCAAGCCTCCCCCCCCCACTTCCTTGGCCGGAGTGAGAGAACTCTGCCACATTCTCATTGGGTTGCGTGAGTTTCTGATTTGTTTGTTTGGAACCACCCCCAGCAGTGCTCAGGACTGATTTCTGACTCTGTACTTTGGGGTCACTACTGCGGGGCCCAGGAACTGAAGGGGCTTCCAGAAATAGACCAGGGGATACACGTCAGCTATGAGCAGGGCAAGTGCCCTCCCCCTGTTCTCTCTTTCTGGCTTTCTGAGCCCTGAAGGTTGTCTCCAAGATCTGAGAGGCAGAAACGTGGAACCTTTATTTTTTTTTTAGATTAATTTTTATTAAAAACATCGTGATTTACAGAGTTGTTTATTATACACTTATTTCAAGTATTTAGTGTTCCAGTACCACCAGTGTGACCGTCCCTCCACCAATATCCCCAGTTTCCCTCCCAATCCCAACCTGCCCACTAAGGCAAATAACAAGTTTACTTTATATTACTTATTCCGACAAAACTTTAAGAAATAGCAAATAGAATGATCAGAAAATAAATCAGTAAGAGCCAATTTGTGATTACTATATGATTTGACCTATGTAAATGAGAAAATTAAAACCACTTAATATAATATAATAAATTGCCTATTCCAGAGTTTTCAACTCTGGAATATAAAGTCTATTATATTAAATTTTATTTTATGGACCTCATTATGATAATAATCGTGTCTCACATGTCACTAATAAAACTTTTAAAGCAATTCTATATTAATGTATTTTGGAATTTACAGGGACTAGGTAAAGCCTGTATCTGTAAGTTTTCCCCCTACACTTTATATAAACACTGTGGCTTACAAAAGTTGTTCATGATGATTTGGAACAGGCATTCAGTATTCCAACACCAATCCCACCACCATTCCACCTTCCCTCCACCATTGTCTCCAGTTTTCCCAACCGCTCATTAAGACTGCCCCTGTAGCAGGTCCTCAATAATTCATTTTATATTGTTTGTTATCAATAAGTTTGCTAACAGGATGATCAAAAATGTTTCTTTAGAAGAAAATTAGTGTTAAATTATTGTACCTCACCGTAGAGACATTAAATCCTTGTCTGAGAGATTACTAAGATTAAGGTTTCAGGTTAAGCCGTCTGTGTTTATGTTTTGTTTTGCCTTCTGTCCCATCTGGTGTGCTGCTGCTGGTTCATTAGTGTTGCAGAGATGGAGATGTGGTGGGGAAGTACAGAATTTTTTTTTAATGTTTTTGTTGAATCACTGTGAGATAGACCCTTATAAAGTGGTTCATGATTGGGTTTCAGTCATGCAGAGTTCCAACACCCATCCCTCCTACAAGTGTACGTTTTCCAGCACCAGTGTTCCCAAGTTCCCTTCCGTCAGCCCCCACCTCCTGCCTGCCTCTATGGCAAGCACTTCTCTCTCTGTGTCTCTGTGTCTCTGTCTCTCTGTTTCTGTGTCTCTGTCTCTGTCTCTGTCTCTGTGTCTCTGTCTCTGTCTCTGTCTCTGTGTCTCTGTCTTTGTCTCTCTCTCTCTCTCTCTCTCTCTCCCCCCCCCTCTTTTGATCATTGTGGTTTATGATACAGATGCTGAAAGATTATAAGGAATATCCCTTTACCTACTTTTAACCCTCCCATCTTGTCTGGTGTGATCATTCCCAGCTATTATTGTCATACAGGTTTCTTCTCTATCTTACCTACCCTCTGCCCCACACACCCTTGTGGTTGATTCCAACCATTGGCCAGTCTTTCTAACCCCTGTTTTCCCTGATCATGGATATTAGTCTTTTATTCTATATCTTTTTATATCCTACAAATAAATGCAGTCATTCTATACCTGTCCTTCTTCTTCTGACTCATTTCACTCAGCATGATACTCTCCATGTCCATCATTTATAGGCAAATTTCATTTCATTTTTTTTCTGACAGCTGTGTAGTATTCCATTATATAAATAAAGTAAGAGATTTTTAAGGGGGTGGTAGAGCCAGAGTTAAATTTATTAATGAATGGTGCTTTTTGGGTGTGGGCATGGCATGACTGCTGGGGCTTCTACTACTAGGAAGTGAGGAGAGGTAGCCTGAAGGTAGACTTTTCTCAAAGAGATTGGGGATTTCAGTCACAAAAGCCTGGAAACTTGAGTCCCAAAACCCACACACCTGATTTTTCCAGCAGATTAATTTCTGGGTGGAACTCCGTCCCAAGACAGTAGAGTCCAGCAGGGGGATGGTGGCGATTTTGGGACGTGGGAGCAATCAGGTGCCAAGGCTCTGTTTGGGCAGGCACTGGGCTGACCCGCCTCACTTGCTTGGGGGTGCCCCGGGCAACTCAGGCATCCTGGTGGGTGTCAACCCAGGGCCCTCTGAGCAATTTTCTGTCTCTCCATCAGCGGATACACACGAATGTGATTCCAGTCCTGCCATAGAGCTTTTGTGACAGTGAATGGGACGGTGGGGCCCCTGCACCATGCTGGCACGGCCAAGGCCCTATTCATCATCCCCCCTCCTGCTGCCCCTGTCCAGGGTCCCCACAGTGTCTCTCTCTCTCTCTCTCTCTCTCTCTCTCTCTCTCTCTCTCTCTCTCTCTCTCTCTCTCTCTCATGCTCTAAACCTTCTGTGCATGCTGACACTCTTCTGCCCTGCCACAGATGGGCTGTCAGGCCCTGGGGCTGGCCGGTGTCACAGAAAGTTCTGGGTCTCTCTGAAAGTGAATTTTTCCCACTTCTGGCTGCTGCCACAACTAAAACATTTCCCCGCTCCCCCCTCCATGTACCACCCTGGCTGCTCCTTCCAGGGCATGGGAGGGCATCGCGTGGCCCTGGGGCCAGCCCTGGAGGTGGAGGAGGGCGCAGGACCCTCAGCTGAGTGGCCCCGGCTGTGTCCACAGGTGACTGCTGGCTGCTGGCTGCTATCGCCTCCCTCACCCTGAATGAAGAGGTGCTGGCTCGTGTCGTGCCCCCCAACCAGAGCTTCCAGGAGAACTATGCGGGGATCTTCCATTTCCAGGTAACAGAGCTTGGCTCAGGCATCTCCTCCACAATCCTGAGGGCCAGGAATAGGCCTGGGGGTGAGGACAGGGTCTGCGCTGGGAGGCCTGGGGTCCAGAAGTCAGTGCATGAAGGGAAGAAACAGGTCTTGTCAGTGAGGAGAGGGACCTGGAGGTCGGGAACAGGTCTGGGGATCAGGAGAGAGCCCTGGAGGTCGGGAACCGGCCCTGGAGGGCAGGAGAGGGTCCTGGTGGTCGGAAACAGGCCCTGGGGTTCAGGAGAGGGTCCTGGAGGTCAGGAACAGGTCCCGGCATCCTAGGAGCCACCCCTGATGAGAGGTGCTTATCTCTGGAGAGTATGAGGGCCAGAGAACACTCCCTGGCCTGCCCCTGACCTGGCCCCCAAGTAGGGGAGTAGGACATGGGACCAGCAAGAGGGAAGTAGAAAGGGGGCCCAGAATGTTCATTCCTGAATTCTCAGAGCAATTTCTTTGGTTGGCGGGGGGAGGGTCCTAAGACTAATTGCAGGTATGCCTCCCTCTCCTCCAGTCACACGAGAAATTATTTTATATATTGGGGAGGAGGGAAACACCCAGCCGCCCTCAGGGCTACTCTGGGCTCTAGGCTCAGGGATCACTTCAGGAAGTGGCCAGGATTGAACGGGACTTGGCTGGGAGTAGCCCCCCGCCCTCCCATCCCCTGTTCCAGCCCAGTACCACTGGGTGTGGCCCCCAAACAGAAACATGCTGGGCAGAATCTCGGGACACAGGTGTGGACGCAGAGGAGAGGACCTGCACTTCTCTCCTCCTTGATGTTGCCAGGGCTTTGCACCAAGGGTCACTCCCCAGAGAGACTGGGTGGGAGCGGGAGGGAACTGGAGGCACAGGCTCTGGGAGGCGGGGGGCACTCTGTCCCCAGCTCCTTCTGACACCGCCCTTGGCTCTGCTGCAGTTCTGGCAGTACGGTGAGTGGGTGGACGTGGTGGTGGACGACAGGCTGCCCACCAAGGACGGGGAGCTGCTGTTTGTGCACTCGGCCGAGGGGAGCGAGTTCTGGAGCGCCCTGCTGGAGAAGGCATATGCCAAGTAAGTGCCCCCCGCCTGCCCACCACAGCCCAGCCGGAACCTGAGCCCCATCCACACAACTTCCAGTTCCCGCCCAGAGGACTCCTCTGACCCACTCTGGCTACAAATCCAAGCAATGCCTACATGCTGGCGCCTGGCCACACTTGCCCCTGAGAAATGACGGCAATTACCATTTTCTGTTGTTGCTGTTAGAGTTGTTACTGTTGCAAGGACCATACCTGGCAGTGCTCAGGGGCCATGCAGTGGCAGGAATCAAACTCAGAGCCTCACACATGCTGGATTCTACTACTTTGGCCGCATCCCTGGCCAATGACTGCTTGCTTACTTGTTTGGGGGCCCAATCCTGGTCGTGCTCTGGGGCCATTCCTGGCTCTGTGCTCAGGAGTGATCCCTGGTGGTGGTGTCAGGGATTTGCAATCTGATAGACCCCATTCAAGGCAAGCGACTTACCCTGTAGCCATCACCGATTCTCAGGATTGCCATTTGTAATCAAATATGCAAGAACACATTGTGGAACACCTCGCAGGGCTTTGGAAGACATCTATTTTCTTGGCAGATCATATCATTTTTGTCAACTAAGTGCAGCGAAGAGTTTTTGCCAAAGGGCAGATGTGCACACTGCAGAGCTAGGAAAGCCATGGGAATGATCCCAGCGATGTGCTAATTAGGCATGGTCCCCTTGTCACACGCGGGAAGCCCCATCGTTAGCAGTCTTGTAAATCACAGTGCTTCCGATGGAAAAATGAATCTCTATTTGGAGAGGTAACTGAAGGTACTTTAAGGGCAGTGGGGAGAGTCTTGGGCTCTTAGGTGGTGGGAAGGTGGGGATTATAGTAACTTGGTACATTAGTATCATAAGTAGTGACACTATTGTATCCAGGTTACCTAAAGTATAATAAAGAGGAAGGAAGGAAAAGGGAAGGAAGGAAGAAAAAAGGAAGGAAGAAAGGGAGAAAGGAGGGAGGGAGAGAGGGAGGGAGGGAGGGAGGGAGGGAAGGAAGGAAGGAAGGAAGGAAGGAAGGAAGGAAGAAAAAAGGAAGGAAGAAAGGGAGAAAGGAGGGAGGGAGAGAGGGAGGGAGGGAGGGAGGGAGGGAGGGAGGGAAGGAAGGAAGGAAGGAAGGAAGGAAGGAAGGAAGGAAGGAAGGAAGGAAGGTAGGTTGGGGAGGGAGAGAGGAGAGAGGAGAGAGAGAGAGAGAGAGAGAGAGAGAGAGAGAGAGAGAGAGAGAGAGAGAGAGAGAGAGAGAGATAGTTTCCCAGTCTCCCTGGTTGAGCTCATCCAGCTGGTGAGCCTTGGACACTCGGCTTTAGAGATTTTTGCCCCTGCCAGCCCCGGCAGGGATCAGGACTGTCTGCCATGTCCAGTGTGAGAGTCAGCCACACCCCTAAGTCTCATGGATAAAAGCAGAAGTGGAGGAGCCTCTGGATGCCCACCTGCACCCTGAGGTCACCCCCCCCCCCTCACTTTAGCACAGTGCCCAGGGCAGGGCAACTGCCCGTGACCGCACTGTCTGTCCTTGGCAAGTTATAAAGGCCAAACACTCAGGAGCCCACTCCAATCTCCTGCCAGGATCAAAGGGGGTGGCTGGATGGGATTTTTGACCAGGGCCTTCCAAGTCCAGATGCTGGAGATTTTTTTCAAAGCATCACAACGGAAGAGCAAGGGGGTTAACTCAGGGATTGGGCTGCGTGCCTTGCATGTGTAAGACCCTGAGTCCAGTCACCCCCCCCCCACATACACACACACACACACACACACACACACACACACACACACACACTGCTCAGAGCAGCGTGGGCACCCACAAACCCAGGCATTGAAGTGTCTGGCCGAGTTGTCTGAGTACGGCTGGGAGTAGCACTGAGTCTCCTAAGCATTTCCTGGCGGTAGTGGTGGTAGCACTCCCTGGTGGGGGGGGGGGGATTGGGAGGGGGGGAGCCTCGCCCCTCGCCAAAAGCTATGCTGTGGAAATGCCACCTGGCCTTCGTGGGCATGCGCGGAGTTCTCAGAGCATCCAGCAAAGGGGTGAGGTGGGGGGGGGGGCATCTGCAGGGGGAGCGATGTGGCACCGGCTGCAGCAGCATCTCCCTCCACCACACCCCAGGATCAATGGGTGCTATGAAGCCCTTTCTGGGGGTGCCACCACCGAGGGCTTCGAGGACTTCACCGGAGGCATCGCGGAGTGGTACGAGCTGAACAAGGCTCCGCCCAACCTGTTCCGGATCATCCAGAAGGCCCTGCAGAAAGGGTCCCTCCTGGGCTGCTCCATTGACGTGAGTCAGCCCCCCACACCCCATACCTGCTCCTCTGGCTCCTACCAGCACCTCGGCCCAGCCACCCCTGCCCTGTAATCCTGGGTAGCCTGATTGCAGCCCGGAGTATCCAGACACTCGTCCCTAGTCCCCACCCTCAGCTTCTAGTGTAATCACCCTTGCAGGACACAGGGCCCTCTGCCAGGTCCCCGAAAGACCACACTGGACATTTTCTCTGCCACTTACAGCCCCCCAACACTGCAGCTGGGAAGATCTCCCACCCAGACATGCCTGCACAGAACCCCCTCACCCACCGTGTGTCAATCACGGTGCCGCAAATCAAGTTTAAAAAAAATATGAAGTTGGGGGCCAGAGCGATAGTACACTAGGTAGGGCACTTGCCCTTGCCCGTGGCAGACCCAGCCTCAATCCCCAGCATCCCATATGGTCCCCAACCACCGCCAGGAGTAATTCCTCAGCGCAGAGCGAGAAGTTATCTTTGAGCACTGCTAGGGGTGGCCCCAAAAAAGGACAAATAAAGGAATTCTATGGGTTAAAGGCATAAACTTTTAAATTTAGGGAAAAAAATAATTAAGACTTCTGCCAGAACAGGAAGGACCCAACTCCTCAGGCTAGCTGTTGGCAACCTCTCCTGGGGCAGGCAGGCAGTCAATATCTGTCCCCAACAGGCCACCAGGCCAGGGCCATGTGCTGCTCCTGGGTCCTGTCCAATCTGGAAACTGGCCCCCAGGGACAGAGGCCCAGCCCTCAGGCCTAACTCTCTAACTTTGAGCAGAGATTCAAACACTTTCCCCACAGACCAAACAGAGGCAAAAAGGCCCTTTGTCCCGCAGCCCTCCCCCCACCTACCCCCCCATTTCTACCTGGAGGAAACTGAAGCAGAACAGAGCAAAGGCTGAGCATAGGCCCTAAACCAGGCCCTGCAGGGGGTGGGGAGGGCGGGCACATCTGGGTCCATCAGGGCTCAGTGTGGGTCCTGAGCCGCCCTCCCCCAGCCCCTCCGCCTGCAGACTCAGGTGTTGGGGTGTACAAGACCCCATGCATTCTGGCCGCTCAGCCCTGCACCTTGTACCCTCCTCCCCTGCCTTCCACAGGGCTGTCTGTCAGGGTGTTGCTGGGGGGGAGGAAGGGGAGAGGGTGCACCCTCCGGGCTGGCTGGTGGGTGCTGCTAGGAGGGAAGGGGAGAGGGTGTACCCTCCAGGCCTGCGCTCTCATCTTTCCAGATCACCAGCGCCGCTGACTCGGAGGCCGTCACCTTCCAGAAGCTGGTGAAGGGCCACGCGTACTCCGTCACTGGCGCCGAGGAGGTGAGCCTGCAGGGAGCTTGCGGGCGCGTTCTGACCCGAACACACCACGTGGTGTGGGCCCGGGACTGCGCGGAGTGTACACCCCATCATCCCCCCTCCCCCCCCCCCACTCCGTTCCCCCGCTGTCCACCCGGAGCTGGGCCGAGAGCGTGGGCAACGCTGCCCTCTGCTGCCCTCTGCTGGCCACGGCGCGCCTGGCCGCTCCCGCGACGCGGACCCCGTTCCTGGCTGCACTGAGGCACTTGGATCCGGCCAGGCCCTGACAACCCTGGGAACGCTTTCGCAGCTGCTCTCGTAAAAGCCTTGGTGCCCCTGCTCTGGACTGGCTCTCTTCTTACCAGTCGCGGGCCCGAGAGTGACACGGGGAGGCCCCACGTTCCAGCCCTGCACCCCGCCCCCTGCCCCGTGAGCCCTGAGCACTGACAAGGGGGGGAGGGGGGGAGTGTGTTCAAAACATTAAGCAAATTAGAAAAAATTCTGTTGGGCTGCTGTGATCGAGTGTCGAGACCATCCTCGACACACTGTCATAAGCGCACTGCTCGCCTTGCTGTTTATAAATACTACGAGTGTAAAGATTAAGGAACCCCAGAGTAGCAAGAATAATAATTAGTAAAGTAAAGGCCCTCCCGTTGATCGTCGATTTGCTCGAGCGGGCCCAGTAACGTCTCCATTGGAGACTTTGTTGTTACTGTGTCTCCCTTTACCCCAAGGAGAGCAGCCAGGCAAATTTCAACGATAAAGTGGTTTTGATACAAGGTTCTCAATTTAATAGCATTTAAGATAATGCAGGAATACCAGAGACCATTTAAAAATCACACTGATTTTTTTTCTTGAAAGTATTCCTGTGTTTGTAGAGAAGAGTGCGTACATAGTGAAAACCGCACTGTCGCCCTACCCCCATCTGGTTCAGCTCATTCTCTGGGTGTGAACGACAGATTTCCTCTCTGCTGAGTAGAGTTTTTCTTCTGAGGTTTCTAGAAGTTAAATTTTCAAAAACCCCAATAGGCGTAAACCTCAGCAACTCCTGAGATGTAAGGTAAAAAGGTAAAGGCCCTCCCGTTGATCGTCGATTTGCTCGAGCGGGCCCAGTAACGTCTCCATTGGAGACTTTGTTGTTACTGTGTCTGGCATATCCAATACTCTCGGTAGCTTGCCGGGCTCTCCGAGAGGGGCAGAGGAATCGAACTCGGGTCAGCCATGTTGGCCGCTTGTAAGGCAAACGCCCTACCCGCTGTGCTATCGCTCCAGCCTAAGAATAATAATTATCATACATATAACGACTAATATTCAGATAAACACATGCTGTGACATTACATAAAATAGATATTATCTGTGAATATATATAAATATGTGTGCAAATAGTGTGTCTCTTATGTCCAATATTAAATATTGTACATAAGGCATGCAAGGTGCAATATACTCGTGTATTATGTTAATATACTGCATATGACTAATGTACAATTAGCAGGATTAATCCTGCCCAGCAGGTAGGGCATTCGCCTTACACGCCTTACACGCGGCCAACATGGCCGACCCGAGTTCAATTCCTCCGCCCCTCTCGGAGAGCCCGGCAAGCTACCGAGAGTATTCGATATGCCAGACACAGTAACAACAAAGTCTCCAATGGAGACGTTACTGGGCCCGCTCGAGCAAATCGACGATCAATCCTGACTATATTGATACAATGCTGTTCGGGGACCCAGTGCCACTGCACACCTGGGCCTGACTTGTCCCCACGCAGCGCTGACTCTGTCCCTTGCAGGTGGACAGCCGAGGGAGCCTGCAGAAGCTGATCCGCATCCGCAACCCCTGGGGCCAGGTGGAGTGGACAGGGAAGTGGAGTGACAAGTGAGTGACAGTGAGGGTGGCAGGGGCCAAGAGGACAGGGTTCTTCTGCGGCTCTGCTGGGGTTCCGGGGGTCCCCCAAGCCTAACCAGCGCCTCCCAGCAGCCTGGGTGTCCTTCCTTACACCGCCTCTCCTTGCTCTGACCCCCCCCAGAGCTTGCTCTCTTCTGAGGGATATTCCTGAGACCAGAAACAGCCCAGACTTCCTGCCTTTGAAAATTCTGGGTGAAATCTCAGTTGGATCATCAGTCAAGCTCTTCTCCCTGCCCCTCTCCTCTTCCTCCTCCTCCTCTTCCTCCTCCTCCTCCTCCTCCTCCTCCTTATCCTCCGCCTCCTCCTCCTTCTCTGCCTCCTCCTCCTCCTCCTTTCCCTCCTCCTCTTCTTCCTTCTCTTCCTCTTCCTCCTCCTCTTCCTCCTACTTCTTTTTGTAGTCCTGCCCCTCCTCCTTCTGCCCTGTCTCCTCTCCTGCTCTCCCCCTTCCCCCTCTCCCTCTCCTCTTTGTGGTCCTCCTCCCCCTCCTCACCTCCCTTTCCCTCCTCCTCACTCCAGCACCTCCAGTTCTGTGTCCCCTTCCCTGCCCGTTCCTGGCACCTCTGCCTCCCCAGACAGACAGCAGCGCCCTCAGGCCTGCGTCAGAGGCCCAGATGAGCTGCTTCTCTTTCAATCTTTCAGTTGTCCTGGAAAAAAGAACTGGGCCAACGATGCAGCCTCCCCCACCCCACTCCTCCCTCCCCGCACATTCTCTCTTTGTCTACCGCTCTCTGTCTCTCTGTCTTTGTCTCTCTCTATCTCTCTGTCTCTGTATCTGTATCTCTGTTTCTCTCTCTGTCTTTCTCTGTCTCTGTCTGTATGTCTCTGTCACTCCCTCTCTCTCTCTCTGGTCTTCCTGCTCCCTTGCAGCTCTCGTTTTCTGCCCTCCTTTCTGCAGTCTGGGCCCTCAGAGGCAGTCAACAGAGTGTCCCTGGTCTCCAGCCCCGTTTCCCATGCCTCTCCCATTGCTTGGTTTTCCAGCTGCCCCAACTGGAACACTATCGACCCAGAGGTGCGGGAGAGGCTGACCATGCGTCAGGAAGACGGGGAGTTCTGGTAAGGTTGTGGGGCAGAGGGGGCTGCTCCAAGGGGTGTTGCTGGACCCTGTGTGAGAGGGCCTTGGTCAGGGCCCAGGAATGTGGAGTCCTGCTCCAGGGGGCTGTTTTCCATGTGTTATGCAACCCACAGCTAAAAAGTTTCCATTGGTGCATCCCAAACTGAGCAGCTCCCTAAGGAAAGCTGAGAAGGCCAGAGATAGTTCGGGGTGCTTGCCTTGTGCCAACCTGAGTTCCTTCCCCAGCACCCCCAGTACCACCCGGAGTGCTCCTTGAGCACAAACCCAGAAATAGGCTGAGGACTGGAAATGTGGGCCAAACCACTGCTGACCCCCCCCCCCCCTCAAAGAAGGCCAAGAAGAACTGCTGCTGTTATATCAGATATCAGAGAAAACAGGGAGAGATAGGGCCTTCCCCACGAGCCACTGCCTTCTGAGTCTGGGCCCCTCTGAGACCCCCCACATCCATCTACCAGTCAAACTGGATGAGTTTCCACACGACCCTCCAGTATGTGGACTGTGTCCCGACAGCAGAGAGCATTAGGAACTGGTTCCATCACCCAGTCCTGGGCTCTCTCTGCACCTGGGAGCACCCTCTGGTAAACTGGCTCTGTGCCTGCTCTCGCCAGGATGTCCTTCGGCGACTTCCTGAGGCACTACTCCCGCCTGGAGATCTGCAACCTCACCCCTGACACGCTCACCAGCGAGTCCTATAAGAAGTGGAAACTCACCAAGATGGACGGCAGCTGGCGGCGGGGCTCCACCGCTGGCGGCTGCAGGAACTTCCCAAGTAAGGCGGTGGGGTAGTGCGCATGTGAGACTGTGTGTGAGACTGTGTGTGAGTGTGTGTGTGTGTGTGTGTGTGTGTGAATAAAGAGATGTGTGCAAGTGTGATGTGTGTGAATGTATAAGTGTGTGAGTGATGTGTATGAGTATGTGTGATATATGTGTGAGTTTTAGTGTGTGATGTGGGTGATGTATGAGTGTGAGTGTATGGTATTTATGTATGAGTGTGCAATGTGTGCCTGTGTCAGTGTATGTCTATGAGTGTGTGATGTGTGTCTGTGTGCTGTGTGTGTGAGTCTGAGTGTGTGTATGTGCATGTGTGTGCATGTGTGAGCATATGTGTGCAAGTGTATGCATGCATGAGTGTAAGCATGAGTGTGCGTGTGTGTGCATGTGTGCATGTATGTATGAGTGTGCGTGAGTGTGTATGTACAATATGTGCATGTGTGTGCATATGTGTGCGTGTGCATATACGCGCATGTGTATGTATATGCATGTGTGTGAGTGCATGTGAGAACCCCGAGCTGGGAAGCTTCTGGTCCCAGAGTCCCCCTGCCTCCCTGCTCCAAGTGACCGTCACTCTTCTCTGCTCTTGGCCTTTTGCACACACTCATCTCCCCACCAGGCAGAATCTGGACTGTTTCTGTCCCCCACAGAAATGGCCAGTGAGGCTCAGTGAAGCGCCCTACGTGGTGATTGCATTATTTACACATAGAACTAAATCCATTACTCCCTCGAGGCCTACTGCAGGCTCCTGAGGCAGATGCTGACTGGTCCTGTGCCCACTTTCAAATGAGGGGTCCTGAGGCTTAGAGGGGTCAGGTGACTTGCCCAAGGGGCACAGCTGCCTAGGCCAGAACTGCAGTGGGCTAACTGACCAGAGCCTGTCTTACACCCTGGTGGCCACTCATGGTCAAGAGGGCGCTAGCTACCAAATGGGTAATGAAGGCTAACGCAGCCTCCCCAGGCCACAGAGCCCCTGCCCAGATGGGCCTGGTTGACCAGCACCTCCTCACATACATGTACGCGGCCACAAATGGAGGATCCGATGTGGAAGGCCCTTGATGCTGCCCGTCACACCCCCTCGCCCCGTCTCTCTCCCACCTGCTACATCAGGGATCAACTAGTTCTTGTAAGGAAGGACCCACTTAGCAAATGCTTTCGACTTTGAGAACCATTCAGTCTGTTGGGGCGGGGAACCTTTATCCTGCCAGGAGCCATCTGGGTATTTATGGCATCATTCACAGGCCACACAATACGAGCAGATGGACCCAGGGCAGCTGACAGGCAGTGTCCCTGCCAGGACCAGACCCCAGGACTTTGTGGGCCTTTCAGGGATGTTCCCACCATGCTCGAGGGCGGTCCCCTCCACTCCACTGTGGTAGCAAGTGGGCAGGGCCATGTCCCAATAAAGTTTTATTTATAAGAACAGTCTACCCACAGCCCCACGCTCCTCATTTGCCAACTCCTACATGAGGTGATGGTCTCCTCTCACACTTAGTTTTGCCCCATTCAGATGGGAGGAAACCAGTGTAACTCTCCTTAAACATGAACGAACTTTTTCTGTTTTTAATAATGTAGAGGTACTGCTATTTGCTCAGCCATTGATTACGCTGATTGAATTGGGCATGAACTTCACATTACTTTTTTTTTTAATTGTATCACCGTGAGATAGAGTTACAAAGCTTTCATGTTTGAGATTTAGCCATGCAATGTTGGAACACCCATCCTTCCACCAGTGCACATTTTCCACCACCCACATCCCAGTCCTCACCCTGCCTCTATGGCAGACAATTTCCCCAATACTCTCTTTCTAATTTGGGGCATTATGTTTTGCTCAACATTTTCCACCATCATTTAAGCCTACCTGCCAGCGGCAGACCCTAGATAATTGATTTTCCATTGCTCATTTTGAATATCATGAGAGCTTGCACAGCTATGACTGTAAATGTAAATTTCTAGATTGTAAATAGTTGGGTTCTAGAGACATCTCTATATGGCAATAGTCCATTTTGGGATTCAATTAGGAGTCTCTGGGCCAGGGCTGTTGGTGCGCTAAGATGACACCCGGAGGCAAATTGTGGGCATGACAGCCAGTCTGCAGGGTGGGCGGGGACCTGGGCTGTCCCGGGTAGGGACAGCCCGGGTCCTCTGCCACCATGCAGCCTGGAGATTCAGTCCTACAACCCTCACACCTGGCCTTGCTTGTGGAAGCTCTTGGTCACTAAGTTTCCATCTGTAGTAGGCGGGATGAACGAACTTTTGGACCGTCCTTTATAAAGAAGTTTCTGAAAGAGCAGAGGCCAGAGACCTCTGACCTCCCTCCAAGGGTCCAGGCCCGGATGAACAAGAATCCAGAAACTGTGCTCAGGTGTTTGTGGGCCCCTGGTGGGGACCTGAGACCACCCAGCCTCCTCCACCCTGAACCCGATGCCCAGGAGGTGCTGCAATTCTCACCCCCTGCCCAGGGCAGCACCCCTGCTCTGTGTTCCCCTCCCCCGGGCACCCCTGCTCAAGCAGGCACTGGGTACTGATGCCCCTATGATCTGGCCACAGATACTCTTTGGGTTTTTGTTTTGTTTTATAATTTATTTATTCTTGAATCACAGGAACATATACAGTTACAAAGTTGTTGACAATTGGGTTTCACTCACACACTGTCCCAACGCCCACACAGACACGTTTTGGATGAACCCCCAGTACCTCATCAAGCTGGAGGAGGAGGACGAGGATCAGGAGGACGGGGAGAGCGGCTGCACCTTCCTGGTGGGCCTCATCCAGAAGCACCGGCGGCGCCAGAGGAAGATGGGCGAGGACATGCACACCATTGGCTTTGGCATCTATGAGGTGAGGCGGGGAATGCTAGCACAGCCCCTTGGACATGGCAGCCATCAGGCAGGGTCTGGAGGTGAGGTCCAGAGAGAGAGCACAGGGGTCAAGGCACTCACTCGCCTTGCCTGAGACAAACCCAGTCCAGTCCTCAAGAGTGATCCCTGAGCACCAAGTGAGGCCTTAACCAGCTCCCCCCATTAAAAATAAAATAACTCAACAGAATACTGCACAGCCATCAGGAGACATGAAGTCATAAAATTTGCTTATAAATAGACAGACATGCTGAGTGAAATGAGTCAGAAGGAGAGGGACAGATGTAGAATGATTGCACTCATTTGTAGGATATAAAAAGCATAGTATGAGGCTGTTACCCGAGGACAGTAGAAATGAGGGCCAGGAGGACTGACCCACAGTTGGAAGCCTGCCATAAGTGGGGGGAGAGAGGACAGTTAGGATAGAGAAGGGTCCACTATGACAATGATAGTTGGAAATGATCACTCTGGACAAGAATTGACTAAGGAGGTAAAAGAATAGACATGATAACCTTTCAGTGCCGTATTGCAAACCATAATGCCCAAATGGAAAGAGCAAGCAAGCGAGTGAGCGAGCAAGCAAGAGAGAGGGAGAGGGAGAAAGAGGGGGGGGGAGAGAGAGAGAGAGAGATGTCTATCATAGAAACAAACTGAGGGTAGAGGGTGGCAGGAGGGAAACTGGGGACATTGGTGGTGGGAAAAGTACACTATGAAGGGATGGGTGTTAGAACATTGGGTGACCCAAACCCAAGCGTGATCTAATTTGTAACTGTATATCACAATACCACTGTAGTTCTGCTCTCCCATTGTTCATTGATTTTCTCAAGCGGGCACCAGTAACATCTCCATTGTGAGACTTCTTGTTATTGTTCTTGGCATATCGAATACGCCACGGGGGGCTTGCCAGGTTCTGCAGTGCGGATGGGGATACTCTCGGTAGCTTGCCAGGCTCTCCAAGAGGGACGGAGGAATCAAACCCGGGTTGGCCGCGTGCAAGGCAAATGCCCTACTTACTGTGCTATTGCTCCAGCCCATCTCACAGTATAATGAAAATAAACAAATAAATAAAAATAACTGGAGATGGCCCCCCAGACAGAACAAGCAAAGCCAGCAGCCCAGCTGTCCCTGGAGTAGTCACGTGGGAAGGTCCCTGCAGTTGGCTGGTCACCAGGCAGGGTCCCCACTGCCAGGCTCCCAGAGTCCCGCCCTTTCCAGCTGCCTCCCCATGTCCCTTCTCCCGTGACCCAGACCTGGCACTGCGGAGGCCACCAATCATCTCTAGAGCCCAAAGAAGACGCAGGCTGAGACCAGAATACTCTGGGCTCATCAGATAAACGTTGGCAAGCTGGAACTGAGCCAAGGAGGCAGCTGGTCAGCACCCAGCCCGCTATGGCCTGGAAGTAGAAGAACTCGGGGCAGGAGACCCTCGGCCGTTCTGTTTCCTGCCAGGCATCGTCTGCTCTAGAGACACTGACCCCCAGCCTCTTCCTTTCATCCTGCACCAAAGTCCAGAGCAGCCCGGCCCCACCACGGCCATGTGGACTGCTGGCTTCATTTGTTTCCTGTGTGGAAGTGCTCTGAGTCGCTTGTCAAATCGCCTTTTTGGTGCCATCCGAGTCACTGAAGGCGCCAGGGCCAGGAGGGGGTATGGTGGATGGTGACGGCGTGTCTGCCTGCTTCTCTGACTCCAGCGTGTTCTTCTTTATCTTGGCAGGTCCCTGAGGAGGTACGTGTGGCGGCAGGTCCCCGGAAGTTCTGGTCCACTGGCAAGTGAAAGTCTTGCACCTCCCCTTTGGGGATCTGTGAAGCTTGGGTAGGGGGTGGTAGCTAAGATGGATTGGCCCCAGCCCTCTGGAACCCCAGGGAGTAGTGTCTCCCCACTGGTCTGAGCCCAGGAAAAAAAGTGTGTCGGCGAATCCCACAGGCCTCGAGGCTTCCCCGAGGCCAGGTGTGGTTGAACTGTGATTGGACCACCCCCTCCTCAGTCAAGGGAACACTGCACAGAGCCCAGAGGGGGTTGCAGGAAGTGCTGTCTCCGGCTCCCAGCTCCCGTTTGCCAGGCCAGGCGAGCATGGAGAAGTTTCCCATCCTCCAAATGTCCTTTTCGGGTACAACTGAAGCCCATGCACCTCCCTGGCCTCTTGCAGAGATGGGCAGAGTTACCTAAACAGCACGTAGGAGGTCCACGGCTGGCCTGAACGGACATGACGAGGGTCACATTTGAGCGGGGGCTGTCTTGAGAGCTGTGGCCATGGGCCAGAGAGATGGTGCAGAGGAGAAGGCTCTCGCCTTTCATACAGCTACGGCTGCAGTGATGGTTCGAATACCAGCACCTCTCTTGGTCCCCCAGGCACTGCTAGGTGTGACCCCTCAGACAAATAAAGGACACAGTTGTTCTGAGGCCACTGGGTGCCCCACCCTCCAGCAGTGCAGCCCCCAGGCCTGGCATATAGAACTCCGCGGGGTCCTGCCATGTGTACCCCACTTGCCTCAAAGGTCACAGAGAGAAAAACGGACAGATGACCCACCCCCCGAGGGGAGCTGGGCCTCTCAGCATCCAGTGGGGTTGATGTGGGATTCCCTGTGGGACTCCTCAGTGGCCCCCAACTGGCCTTTCCCAGGGCCCCCCGTCGAGTAGCCGAAAGGGCTGGGTTGGGAGAATCATCCATCCTTCACCCCCTCTTGTCTCCGCTTCTTCCTCAGCTAATGGGACAGACCAACATCCATCTCAGCAAAAAATTCTTCCTGACTAACAGAGCGAGGGAGCGGTCAGACACCTTTATCAACCTGCGGGAGGTGCTCAACCGCTTCAAGCTGCCCCCCGGGGAGTACATTGTGGTGCCGTCCACCTTCGAGCCCAACAAGGATGGGGACTTCTGCATCCGGGTCTTCTCGGAGAAGAAGGCGGACTACCAGTAGGCGCCCTCTCCCGCCCTCCTCCCGTCACGCACTTCTGTTCCTTTCAATGTCCGTTTCCTCCCCAGGCGTCAGTGTGTGATTTGAGGACATATTAAAGAAACATTTTGTGGGGAGAGGAGGGGGCCACACCCAGTGGTGCTCAGGGCTCACTCCTGGCTCTGAGCTCAGGGATCATTCCTGGCAGTGCTCAGAGGTGCTGGGGGTCAAACTTGGATCAGACACATGCAGGGCAAACGCCCTATCCACTGTACAGTCCTGAGGAGCCTCTAGACCCTGAAGAAACTTTTGTCTTGTTTCCTTTGTTTGTTTTTGAGCTGCACCCAGCAGCAATGGATCAAATCGATCCCCTGCATATGAAGCGTGCATTCAGCCTGAGGAGAGCTCGCTCGCTCACTCTCGCTCTCTCTCTTCTCTCTTCTCTCTCTTGCTCTCACTCTCTCTCTTCTCTCCTTTCTATCTCTGTCTCTCTCCTCTTTTGCTCTCTCCTCTCTCTCCTCTCTCAACTCTCTCTGTCTTTCTCTATCTCTGTGTCTGTATCCCTGTCTCTCTAAACTCTATCTCTGTCTCTGTGTTCCTGTCTCTCATCTCTGTCTCTCCCTGTGTCTCTGTCTCTCTTCTCTCTGTCTCTGCCTCTCTTGCTCTCTTCCCAATTTTCTGTTTCTCTCTCTCTCTCTCTCTCTCTCTCTCTCTCTCTCTCTCTCTCTCTCTCTCTCTCTCTCCCTACCCCCCTCCTGGCCCCCACCTTAACTCCTGCTGCATTAAGATGTGAGATCCCAGAAACGTGGGCTACATAAACACCCCCTCAGCTTTGAACGCCTCACTTCCCATTCTGGTGGTGATTTTTCCGCACTTCCTTTTCACCCTCCCTTCTTGTGACTCCAATTTCCCTCTGTTTCAGAATTGTGGATGATGAAATCGATGCCAACATTGAAGAGGTACTGCAACTCTTGGGATTCCTCCCATTCTGCCCCACTTCCCTGCTTGTGAACCCTCCGTAGCCATTAGGGATGCCGGCACTGACAAATCTGCCCCCTAGTTTATATCCCCTCTCTCATCTGACCCAGAAATATTCCCTTGACTCTTCACACTGTCCGTGATCTTGATCTGAAAGGGGCAGAGAAGGGTCCCTGAGAAGGAGGAGTTTCCTGGAAGGGATTGCGGGCAACTCTCTTCCCTGGGCTCAGCCCTCCTCCCCTCTGGCCCTCATCTTCCAGATTAGCGTCAACGAAGAAGACATCGATGATGGATTCAGGAGGCTCTTTGCCCAACTGGCCGGGGAGGTAAGACTCCCCAGATCCCTGGGAGGCACTCTCTGGCTGACCCAGAGAAGACCATCATTGTCTTCAAGTCATTGTCCTCAAGTAGACATCCCTTCAGCGTGTGGTGTGTGTGTGTGTGTGTGTGTGTGTGTGTGTGTGTGTTTGTGTGTGTTGGACTGGGGGTGGAGGGCACTGCTCCAAAGCCAGGAGGGATCCATTGATTGGGGGAACACAGATTTCTCCCTGGCCTCCCAAAACCTCCCCCAGAGGACTGCACCAAGCAGCCTGGGACCCCCTTTTCACATTTGCATATGTCCCCTGCCTTAGGATTCTGGGCCTCACCTTGTGATGCAGAAATTTCCTTGATTTCCACAACAGCATACAGAGGGAGGGAAGGATTTTTAAATCTGCAGAATGCAGGTGGCTGAGGAGAGTATCAGACTTCCCTGCTCTTGAAACCACTGTGGCTGTTAAGGATGTCATCACTGCCAACTAGTCACTTCTCTTCCTTCCCAACAACTTCTGGAAGAGAGAGACAGAGACAGAGATAGAGAGTGAACACCATCTTCCTTCCCTGCCCAGAATCCAGCTCTCTCACGAATGTCCCTCCAGGGAGCCCACCTGAGCCCCTCTGAAGAGGCCTCATCAAAGGATAGGCAGCTGCCACCTGCCCCCTCCCCCACCTGCTCCTCCCCCGCCCTCCACCTGCTCCTCCTCCACATGCTTCTCCCCTCCTCCACCTGCCCCTGCTCCCTCCTCCCCCTGCTCCTCCTCCCCTCCTCCACCTGTTCCTCCTCCCCCTGCTCCTTCCCCCTCCTCCACCTGCCCCTGCTCCCTCCTCCAACTGCTCCTCCCCTCCTCCACCTGCCCCTGCTCCCTCCTCCCCCTGCTCCTCCTCCCCTCCTCCACTTGTTCCTCCTCCCCCTGCTCCTTCCCCCTCCTCCACCTGCCCCTGCTCCCTCCTCCCCCTGCTCTTTCTCCCCTCTTCGACCTGCCCCTGCTCCCTCCTCCACCTGCTCTTCCCCTCCTCCACCTGCCCCTGCTCCCTCCTCCTCCTGCTCCTCCTCCCCTCCTCCACCTGCTCCTCCTCCACCTGCTCCTCCCCCCTCCTCCACCTGCCCCTGCTCCCTCCTCCCCCTGCTCCTTCTACCCTCCTTCACCTTCCCTGCTCTCTCCTCCCCATGCTCCTCCTCTACCTACACTTCTCCTCCACTGCCCCTGCTCCCTCCTCCCCCTGCTCCTCCTCCCCTCCACCTGTTCCTCCTCCCCCTGCTCCTTCCCCCTCCTCCACCTGCCCCTGCTCCCTCCTCCCCCTGTTCCTCCTCCTCTCCTCCACCTGCCCCTGCTCCCACCTCCACCTGCTCCTCCTCCACCTGCTCCTCCCCCTCCTCCACCTACCCCTGCTCCCTCCTCCCCCTGCTCCTCCTCTCCTCCTTCACCTGCCCCGCTCTCTCCTCCCCCTCCTCCTTCTCCACCTACTCCTCTCCTCCACCTGCCCCTACTCCCTCCTCCACCTGCTCCTCCCCTCCTCCACCTGCCCCTGCTCCCTCCTCCCTCTGCTCCTCCTCCCCTCCTCTACCTACCCCTGCTCCCTCTTTCACCTGCTCCTCCTCCCCTCCTTCACCTGCCCCACTCCCTCCTCCCCCTGCTCCTCCTCCACCTTCTCCTCTCCTTCACCTGCTCCCTCCTCCCCCGCTCCTCCTCCACCTACCCCTGCTCCCTCCTCCACCTGCCACTTGCTTCCCTTCCCTCCTTCACCTGGGGGCTTGTAAGAAAGACCTCCCTAGCTAATGCACCCCACCCACCGTTTGGTGGGAGCAAGTGCCCGTTGCAGCCCCTGGCCTGGCTGCATGTACAGTAACCAACACCCCTTGCTTCTCTGTGCACAGGATGCAGAGATTTCTGCCTTCGAGTTGCAGACCATCCTGAAACGAGTCCTCGCAAAGCGTAAGTGGCCTCTCCCCTCAGGTCCCCGCCCTGCTCCTTCCCTGTGGTTATGGAAGGACAAGGGAATCCTCTCCCTTCCTCAGCCAAGCCTTCACCCCTGCTCCCCTGCAAACACCACCAGCATCACCTCTGCCCACACGGGGCTGCAGGAAAGGGTTCTGGGGGATGCAGACTGGATAAATAATAAACGAGGCACCGGGTAGATAGTGTAGGGGTGAAGGTGCTTGCCTTGCACACAGACAGCCTGGGTTTGATTCCCGCCATCACTCTGGGCCCCTAAACCCTGCCAGGAGGGATCACTGAGTGTGGGGCCAGGAGTAAGCCCTGAGCTCAGCCTAATTATGTCAAAGAGACAAAAAAAGAATTGAGTCGGGGGCTGGAGCAATAGCACAGCGGGTAGGGCATTTGCCTTGCATGTGGCCGACCCGGGTTCGATTCCCAGCATCCCATATGGTCCCCCGAGCACCGCCAGGAGTAATTCCCGAGTGCAGAACCAGGAGTAACCCCTGAGCATCACTGGATGTGGCCCAAAAAGCAAAAAAAAAAAAAAAGAATTGAGTGTTCAGTCTCCCTACGGTTATCACCACTACAGGGAGACGAAACACTCATGCATGCACATGCACACACATACGCACACATGCACACGCTCACGCGTGTCCACCAAGCAGGGCTGTGCAGTGTCAGAATTTAGAAGCCTGGATTAGAAACTAACATGAGTGTCAGATTCAGAGTATCCGGCCTGGGCTCTTCTCTCTAGACACCCCGCAGCTTCCAAGGCGGCACCTGGTCTAACTCTGAGAGAGGAGCATAAATCCTCCCTCGGGAGCCAAGGAGGAATCCAGGCCCCTTGGTGTCTCCTGTGAGGACACAGACACGCTCCTCAAGAACTGCATGTGGCCGCTGGGCAAGTGGCCAAGTCAGCATGTGTGATTCAGCATTGGGCCGGCGGTTAAGAGCACTGGCCCACTGGCCTAGGGCAGGACTTTCCCGGGACAGGCCCCAGCGCCCCCTCCCGCTGCTGTCTGGAGCAGGGGAGGAGGGGGCGTTCACCCGAAATCTGCCAGGCACGATGAGGTCATGAGGCTCTTGGCGTGCAGCTGTCCTGGCCCCAGCACACTGAGGCCTCATTATCCCCTCCAGGCCATGGGGGCGGGTGGGCAGGACCCAGCCAGCTCCTCGCCTCTGAGCTGGGCGCTCTCCAGGCCGCCTCTAACTCTCGCCCAAGCCCCACATACGCAGCTGCACGTCCAGCCCTGAAGGGGGGCCAGGGCTCAGGGGTCGGCTCTTGGAGCAGGGGGGGGGGGCGGGGGGGCCGAACCCTCACAGGTATGCCGGAAAGGGCGGCTGCTTCTGAAGCCTGTGGGAGCCTGAATTCACATACACCCCGAAAAGCAGGACTCACCTGGGAGAGCACCACTGTGGGGTGCTTGCCCACACATGCCTGCAGGCCCTCCCGGGACCTCCTCACCCCATGGCCCACAGCCCCAGGTGTCTACTTCCTGGCTGATAAGCCTGCTCTGGGCACTTCATCATTAGCTTGGTTTGGTTCCGGGACCACACCTGCAGTGTACAGGGCTCACTTCTGGACTCTGGGGCCATATGGAACACCGGGGTTGGACCCTGGGACAGCTGTGTGCAAGGCAAGCACCCCACCTGCTGGACTGTCGCTCCGGTCCCTCGTTCTTGATTTGGAGCTGGAGAGAAGGCTCAGGGATCGGGAACAAGACTGCGCATGAAAGGGAATCGGGCTCAATCCTTGTCACCACCTGGTTCTCAAGGAACCCCTGAGCACTGAGCTGGGAGTTGCTGCTGAGCTCTGCCCAATGTGACTCCCACACACAACCATGTATAGAAAGCAGTTATTGGAGCCAGAGCGATAGTCCAGCGGGAAGGCAGTTGCCCTGTATGTGGCTGACTCAGGTTCGATCTCCGGCAACTCATCTAGTTCCTGGAGCACTGCCAGGAGTAACCCCTAAGCACCACTGAGTGTGCTCAAACAACAAAAAATAAAATTGAGAAAGAGAGGGAGAGAGAGAGAGAGAGAGAGAGAGAGAGAGCGAGCAGTTCCTAAGCCTCTGGGTTGCCGGGTAGGCATGTCGCAGGCCCTGTGGCCCCCACACGCTGACACAGGCCACACGTGACTCTCACTGGGTCTGAGCACTGCTGTATGGGAGGTGCAGACACCAGGCCTTGCAGCCCCCGAGACAGGCCTCCAGGAGAGAGCTGCTCTGGGCCACGTCCTTGAACTGCTGCCTTTGTCTCCTAGGCCAAGACATCAAGTCTCATGGCTTCAGCATCGAGACCTGCAAGATCATGGTGGATATGTTGGATGTATCCTTTCTGGGTCCCCGCAAACAGATGGGGGCATTCAAGGGCTTCTCCAGACACACTGGGGCTTGGGGCCTCCTTTGGGAATGGCCTGCTGACTCCAATCAGCTGGGCCTTGTGGTGTGGTCAGCCCTAATGACCCCTTACCAGGAACCCATGAGTGAGAGATGGTGACGGGTCCTTCCAATGACACCTCCATGACTCCCCGAACAGGAAAATTACTGCCAACACCCCCTCCTGCCCTAAGCCAACACCGCCCCCCGCCCTAGCTGCCCTCCGTGGCCACTGTGCCCCCATTTCCTCTGGGAAGAGATTCCCTGTCCCACCAGGTGCTCATGTGAAGGCCTTCCTGGCCATGGTTTTCTTCTTGATTTGCAGCTGTAACACTGTCTCCGTGAGCTTCCTCTGTTCTAGCTCCTTCCCCGGGTGCCTACCTGCCCCTCTGCTTTGTGAGTGAAGGTGGGTGGGGATATCTGAGCCTCCTTGAGGTTTAGGTAGTGGGCTGGGAGAGCACCCCATGTGGCTCTCCACCGCATCCCCCCCAACAGCCTTTTTTTAAAAAATTTTTGTCAGTGAGACACCATGAGGTACAGTTGTAGACTTACAAATTTTTGTGCTTGGGTTTCAATTATACAATGATCCCTCCACCAGAGCCCATTTCCCACCAGCACGGATCCCAGAATCCCTCCCAGCCCCCACGCTCCCCCCATCCCACTCTGCCTCTGTGGCAGGGCATTCCCTTTCGTTCTCTTTAGAATCGCTCGGGCCAGCAAGGCCCAGCCATTAGAAGCTGCTTTTAGCAGGATCTGGGAGCCCTCCAGGGCCCCTGGCACCCTCAGCAAGCCTAGTTGGGGTGGAAGTGTGGGGGAAGTCTTTAGGTGCTGCTTCCACCAGCCCTTTAGGTGCATCTGGCCGTGGTGCAGAGCAGGCCTGGGTCTGTCCTTCCCTGGGTACAGGCTGCAGCCCCCAGCTTACCCCATCATGGGCACACGGCAGAGCCTCTAGGCCCCCACAGCCCAGATTCAAGGCACTTTCCTCAACGAAGGCCAGGAGGACGGCAGCGGGAAGCTGGGCCTGAAGGAGTTCTACATCCTCTGGACCAAGATTCAGAAATACCAAGTAAGCACTCAGGAGGGCCCAGGGCAAGGCTGGATCTCAGCAGCATTAGGGGCAGGGCAGCCTCATGGGAGCCATGGCAGAGTAGGGCAAAGGCAAGAAAAGCAAACACTTTTGGATCCATTTGGTTCCAGTTTGAGTCAGGAATCAACTTCTCTTGATTCCTGACTCAAACTGGAGGGTCACTGAAAAAAAAAATCCAAAGGATGTGTGGGGGCCGGAGAGATACAACAGCACACAGGGTGCTTGCCTTGCATGCGGCCGACCCAGGTTCAATCCTCAGCACCCCATATGGTTCCCTGAGCCCCGCCAAGAGTGATCCCTGAGCCCAGAGCCAGAAGGAAGCCTTGAGGGGGACCAGAGCGATAGCATAGCAGGTAGGGTGCTTGTCTTGCACGCAGCCCACCCAGGTTTGATCCCTGGCATCCCATATGGTATTCCAGGCAGTGTCAGGAGTAATCCCTGAGCATCGCTTAGTGTGGCCCAAAAATTTATAAAAAGAAGAAGAAGAAGTAAGCCCTGAGCATAGCTGCGTGTGGCACAAAAACTAACACACAAATGCTGTGTGGCCATTCACTTCCTGCTTTGTGGGTAAGTCAAGCACAGGCTACTGAAGTGAGAAGGTGGGGCCACGTCTTGGGATAATTCATTTTCTGGGCTTATTTGCAAACCAGCTTAGAGATCAGGGCTGGAGAGGTGCTTTTTCCTGCCCAGAGCCATTTGGATATTTCTGACATCATCCGTGGGCCGAACAACACAGACACTCGGAAACGTACAGTCGACAAGTTTCATGTGTGTCTGTCCCGTCACATGCCAGGGCCAGTCTCCCCCGGATTCATGGCCCAGACAGTCCTCACCCTGCCCTAGAGAGAGAGGCAAGATGCTAATTAGCTTCTTCAGGCTGAAACATGAGTCACTGTTCTAAGGTCAGAGCAGAGGCAGAAAGTTGGGCAAAATTTATCCCCACGCAGGACATGGCCCAGAGGTAACCCAGTCACTGTGGGCTGCGCCTGGAGTCCTGGTTCATAGGACAGTTTGTGTGTTTCAGAAAATTTATCGAGAAATTGACGTGGATCACTCCGGGACCATGAATTCCTATGAGATGCGGAAGGCCCTGGAGGAAGCAGGTGAGTCTCACAGCCTTGCTGCAGCCCTTTGGGGAGAACCGGGGGATATGGGACAGTTCAGGTGGGTGTTGCCTCAATTCAGCAACCTCCCCTTCCCCTCTGAAAGACGAAAAGGCAATGCACTTAAGGATGTACCGCCCCATTGCTTTCTCCAATCTATGTTCCCTCCCTCCCAGTGACCTGGAAGGTCACGTGGGTGGAGTTCGTTCTCAGCAGAACCCCCTGCAATCTTTCCAGGGTGGGGGTACTTAGACACAAGTGGGGTGTGTCTGGTGGGGCTAAAGCCATAGTACAGTACATAGTGCAAACTCCACACATAAGGGAGTTTGCCTTATATGTGGCTGACCTGAGTTCGATCCCCAACATCCCACCTGGTTCTCCTGAGCCCCACCAGGGGCGATCCCTGAGCACTGAGCCAAAAATAAGCACCACCAGGTGTGACTCCCCCAAACCAAAAGAATAAATGGGATGTGTCAGCTCCATCCAGGGTTAGACTTTTGCAGAATGAGACGTCAACAAGAGATACAGCTCATAGGAGGTGAAGCATGAACCTGGTTCCTTTGGGGACAAATATGATACTGCAGGTGATTGTCATTGTGCATAGATGAATATGAGGCTGAGGCAAAGCAGCCCCTAATCACTGGCTTCCACGAGAGAGACTGGGCTGGGGAGAGGACTCAAGTGGCAGAGCACATGCCTAGCATGTGTGAAGCTCTGAGTTTGATCCCCTGATCACATGGCCTCTGAGCACCACTGCGGCCCCCAGTACTGCTGGGCATGGCCCCTGTTAAAGTTAACAAGGGCAGGAGATATAGTACAGCTTGTATTGCACACATCCCATCCAAATTCAATCCCCCTGGCATCCCATATGATCCCCTGAGCCCCCCCCCCACCAGGGGTCATCCATGAGCACAGAGCCAGGAGTAAGCCCTGAGCATCGCCAGGTCCCAACACAAATCCAACCCAAAAGAAAAAACAACAACAAAAATTAATGACCAAACACGCCTTTCTCTCTCAGAGCAGAACCAGTACAAACCCCAGGCCAGGTAGAAGGGAGCCTCCTTGCTGCCGTTAGTGGTTCTTCTGCCATGCTGGGTCACCTGCGGTGTTGCCAGGATCACAGGCTGTGGGGATGAGGGGTGGGGAGTGGGATTCTCGGGTGCAAGTGGGGCACTTGCTGCTTGTTCATTTAGACAAGCAGCTTTCCTTGGGGCTGGGGAGAGAGCAGAATGGACTGAACCTTGGCCTTGTGTGCCGGAGTCCTGGGCTCCATCAGCAGCACCACACGGCAGTGAACCCCAAGCACAGGGTCAGGATCAGCCTCTCCTGGGCAACCAGCGGGTGTGGTCCCTCACAAATAAACAGTCAACCAATAAATATTCCCCAAAACATGTATTTACAGGGATACCACCACCTTCTCCCAACAGGTGGATGGAAGGAGGGGAGAAGGGAAAGGGGGATGTTTTCAGGCACACATTTCTCATGCAGCCCACTACCAGATGGCACCAGGGAAGTGGGAAATGCAATCTTGACTCTGGGCAGCCTGGACCCATAACAAGTTTTATTTCTGGAGGCTGGACGGTCCAGTGGGCAGGGTGCTTGCCTTGCATGCGGCCCACCTGGATTTGATCCCTGTCACTACATATGGAGCTTTGCCAGAGGTGATCCCTGAGTACAGAGCCATGGGTTATCTCTGAACACCCCTGAGTGTGCCCCAACATCCCTTCCCAAATTATCACAAAAGAAAAATTCTATTTCTGGGACCAGAGAGACAGAACAACATGGAGGGCACGTGCCTGGCATGTGGCTGACCTAAATTTGGTCCTTGGCATCCCATAGGGTCATCCCACTCCTGCCAGGTATGGAATCCCTAAGCACAGAGCCAGGAGTAAGCCCTGAGCACAGCCAGGGCTGGCTGAACCCCTGCTCCCAAATTATATTTCTATGGTAAAGGGTGGGGGGAAGTTCAGTTTCCACGCCATTTCTGCAATGGGTGTTCAGGATGAGTCTAGTTTCCACACGGAGCCAGCACTAAACAGGGGCGTAGGCCCAGATAACCCCCCCATGCTGCAGCTGGCAGGCCAGAGGCATGAGGGATTTAGCCCAGCGGGAAGGAGAGCAGTAGGCAGAAGAGAAAGTGTGGAAGGAGAAGCACTGGCAGAAGGCAAGCATCAAAGTGTCAAAGCAGCCGCAGGGCAGCCAAGGGGCAAAGCACTGTAGCACTGTCCTCCCGCTGTTCATCAATTTGCTTGAGCGGGCACCAGTGACGTCTCCATTGTGAGACTTGTTGTTACTGTGTTTGGCACATCGAATACGCCATGGGGAGCTTGCCAGGCTCTGCTACTCTCGGTAGCTTATCGGGCTCTCCCCGAGAGGGGTGGAGGAATCAAACCCGGGTCGGCCATGTGCAAGGCAGATGCCCTACCCACTGTGCTATCGCTCCAGCCCAAGGGACAAAAGCAACTGTAATTGCCCATGAGATTGTCACAGACCCCATGCAGAGCTGGGAGTGAGCCAGTGAATACAGGGCGTCAGCTGGCCTGTCCCTTCCACTCCAGGTTTCAAGCTGCCCAATCAGCTGCACCAGGTCATCGTGGCCCGCTTTGCAGATGACGAGCTCATCATCGACTTCGACTGTTTCGTCCGGTGCTTGGTCCGACTAGAAACCCTGTTCAGTGAGTGGCTCTCTGTGGGGATGACCCCACTGTGACTCTCCGGGTCTTCCAGGGCCCGCCTGGCCCAGAGGAGCATCCACTCCCTGGAAATGTGTCCTTTACCTGGGCAGAGGGAGGAGAGAGAATCACTGGTCACGCTCTGATGAGATCAGGGAGTTGGGTCCCGTGGCCTCTGGTTTAGCCTGTTCACACAGGACACCTTCTTTCTTCCTCCACAGAGATATTTAAGCAGTTGGACCCTGAGAACACTGGAACCATCGAGCTCAACCTTATCTCGGTGAGTCTCCACTATTACCTTACTGCTCACTGGATGGGGCAGACATATGGCTTTCGGGCGATAGAGCTCTCTGGCTACAGACTTTTTGTTTTCATTGCTTATTTGGGGTAGGGGGGATTCAGGGGCTCTTCCTGGCTCTGTGCTCACTAGTGCCCTCTGGTGGTGCTGAAGAGACCACATGTGGTGCTGGGTACTGAACCAGGGTTAGCTGTGTGCAAGGCAAATGCCTTCACCTCTGGAATGCCTGTGACCTTTTTAATTTTTATTTTATTTATTTATTTGCTTTTTTGGTCACCCCTGGCGATGCTCATGGGTTACTCCTGGCTGTGGACTCAGGAATTACTCCTGGAGGTGGTTGGGGGACCATGTGGGATGCTGGGAATCGAACCTGGGTTGTCATGTGCAAGGCAAGTGCCCTACTTGCTGTGGTATCGCTCCAGCTCCCTGGGACCTTTGGAAAAAAGATTTGCTTTGAAAAATCTTTTGTTTAGGGACTGGAGTGATAGTCCAGTGGGTACGGGGTTTGCCTTGCACTCAGCTGACCCGGGTTCAATCCCCAGTATCCCATATGGTTCCCTGAGCACCACGAGAAGTAATTCTGTGTGCAGAGCCAAGAGTCACCTCTAAGCATAGCTGGCAAACCACTAAAAAAAATTCTTTTAGTCAGCCAGGTGCTGGCCTGCAATTGGTTCTAATATCTCACTATGCACTTCTATATGCAGTTCAGGGCGTAGGGCTTACTCCTTACTCTGTGCTCAGGGGTCACTCTTGGCAGTCTCAGAGGACCATATGGGGTGCCAGGGATCACCACAAACTTGGTCAGCAACATGCAAGGCAAACACCCTACCCACTAATATTATCGCTTGGGCCCCCTTATTGATTCTTGAATCTAAGAAAAGACCCCTGTCTCTCATCCCAGCAGCTCTGTCTAGGGCGGAGCACACATTAAAAGGGGGTGGATATGGGCTGCCACCAGAAAGTGAGCGTCTGATTAGCATGCTGAGGAAACAGTGGTTATGTAAACTCTTTGGAGGCCATTCAAGTGGGTTTGAGGAAGATCTGGCCTTCTCAGAAGAGAGCCACTGAAAAGACTTTCTGAGCTAATTGCTTTTCTCTACTTCCTCCCCCTTTCAAATAAACAGCAGTAAATGAGTTCCCCGTGTATAGTTAGTTAAAGCCCCGGCCATGCCCACCTCTGAAATGAGCGTCCACCCAAATTAACTTGGTAAACACCCCTTCCACAGAAGATCAGAGTGTAGAATGTTCTCATCTCATTCCCAAAAGACAGAAAGTTCTGCAAAGCCAGAAGCCAGCTAGGCTACTTCCACGCTCCTCTGGCCGCCCGGGTGCCATTCTGCAATACTCAGGGGGGCTGAGCGTGGAGCTTGCGGCTGTGTGCCTAGGCTGCAAAGGGCCAGGAGGGGGTCCAGCACCGGTGGGAGGGGTAAAGCTCCCACAGTCCCTGTGTTGCAGAGGGCTGGGCGCAGAGACAGGGTATGGGGTGGGAACCTTCCCTGGATTTTGAGCTTAGCAGCAGTTATTTAATTGTTCAGCTCTGGTCCGGTGCATTAAAAGAAACTTCAGTTAACTGAGAATTGATTTCAGCTGGTTTTATACTCACTTGCTTAAAACTCTAGGAAGGGCCCAGAATGATGGTACAGCAGGTAGGGATTTTGCCTTCCATGAAAAATCCATCCTGACCCAGGTTCAATCCCCGGCATCCCACGTGGTCCCCGAGTCTGCTAGGAGTGATCCCTGAGCACTGCCAGGTGTGACTTTAAAACAAAACAAATACCACTAGGTAGAGCCGAAGCAACAGTACAGCTGGTAGGGTGTTTTTTAGCACACGGGTGAGCTGGGTTCGATCCCTGACACTACATACAGGTTCGATCCCTGAGTACTGCAAGGCATGAGCCTGAGCAAAGAGGCAGGAGTCAGCCCTGATCACAGAGAGCTACGGCCCCCAAACAAAATAACTCTAAGTAATCTCTGAGATCTCAACTCAGGGATTATGGAACATGTAACACGCTGCCTGTTACATTCTGGAGCTCTAGACTCTTTAGCAGCCTTTTTTGTTTTGGAAGTCGGGTGGAGGCAGGAAGGGGGATGCCCTGCAGTGCTCAGGGGCTTTGTGCTCAGGAGTAAGCCCTGGTGGTGCCGGAGATTGAACTGAGGCAGCCGCAGGCAAGGGTCTTAAGCATGGCCCGATCTCTCCCACTCTGTCATTCTTGTTTTGTTGAGTTTGGGTCACAGCTGCTGGTGCTCAGAGAACCAAACCACCTGCTCCTGGGCACCACAGGGTCTCCTGAGCAGCGCCAGGTGAGGTCCAAGGGTTGGTGCTGGGGGCTTCCACATGTAAATTATGCAAATTGTGCCCTTTGGCCCCTTTGAACTCTGACCCCCACCCAATAGGATAGAATAAGGATCGTTGTTTCCTCTTGTTTTCCTTTGTTGGCAGAGCCAGGCATTGAACCCAGGGCCTCACACATACAGAGTGCTCAGCCATTGAGCCACTTCCCTGGCCCCTTCACCCTTCTCACCAGTATCCACAGGCCTGTGCTGGCCTCCTCAGGCGTCTCCTCTCCTGTCCTCTGACAATCATCTTCTCCCTGGTTTTGCCCCTTTTGCCTCTGTCAGTCTCAGAGACTTTGCTAAGCATGAGCCACATCTAGAACATCTGCCTGGGGCTGGGCAGGTGCTTAAAGGACTGGAATGGTAAGAAGTGGGGCTCCAGTGTGATCCCAGGCACCACGCTGTTTCCCCAGCACTACCAGGAGCAACCCCCAAACACCAAACCTAGATTAGACTCTGAGCACCACAAGGGGTGCGGCTCCCGAACAGCCCTGCCTATCTGGGGGCTGCAGGGCCACCCATGGTTGCAGGCTGCATCACTAGGCTGGTTTGCCAAAGGCCTAATGTCCAGCCCAGTCCTGAGCCAATTCCATCAGGGTTGGGTTTTGGGGTGGGGTTTGCTGGAAGTTGTGGAGTGGGGTATATACCTGGCAGTGCTCAGAACTTATTCCTGGCTCTGTGCTCAGGAATCACTCATGGTGGTTTGGGTGGCCATATTGGGTGCTAGGAATCAAACCCAGGCGGTAAAGGTAAAGGTAAAGGCCCTCCCGTTGATCATCGATTTGCTCAAGTGGGCCCAGAGACTTTGTTGTTACTGTGTCTGGCATATCGAATACGTCACGGGGAGCTTGCCAGGCTCTGCCGGGCGGGCGAGATACTCTCGGTAGCTTGCCGGGCTCTCCGAGAGGGGCGGAGGAATCGAACTCGGGTCGGCCATGTTGGCTGCATGCAAGGCAAACGCCCTACCGCTGTGCTATCGCTCCAGCCCTAAACCCAGGTGGGTTATGTGCAATTCAAACACCCTCCCCCCTGTACTATAGCTCCGCTCCCCAAGTCTGTTAGAATCTGGTTTCGAGCTCCCAGATGTAAACTTACAGTTGAAAGCTACAGTTGAAGGGATATCTGCACCCCTGCTCACTACCAAGCAGTCCCCAGAGGCAGAGGGGGGAGCACGCCCCTTTCCAGGCTATCTCAGGGTCACCCTCACATCTGGCAGTCAACCTTGTGACAGTGGAATCTGATCCAAACTACACAGACCCACTGGCCTGTAAAAAGTGAGGACGCTAAGAAATCAGTCTAGAAAAAATATAGCTAGTACAGCAGCAGCTGAACCCTGGATTTTTCTGGTATAATTATCTGTCTTGGAATAGTTTAGAGCCAAATAGCTTTTGAGGGCTTTCATTTCATTGTTAAAATGGTCAACCCAACTGACCTGCTTTTCTGCTTCTTCACAGTGGCTGTGTTTTTCTGTACTTTGAAGTTATCATTAATCTGCCCGAAGACTTCCGGAAAAGGAAACTCAGCTTTGGACTCAACTTCCACAGAGAATTATTTTTTATTTTAACCTGGACCTTGAACTTGAGGGAACATTTACTTAAACTGATACAATACTATTTGAGATAGAACTTACAGTTATCTAAGGGCTGCATATCACTATACTGAACCCACGCCAGGCACTTAACCCTCCTTAAGTTCAAAAGGAAGCTTGGAACCTCATAGATATTTCTGACTTCCACACACACACCTGTCTGTAGCCATGTTACATCAGAAAAATAATGCAGGGACTTATTTATCAGCTGAGCAAACATTAAATCCTCCTCAGGACACAGGGTCTTTTTTGCTGGGAATATTTGAAGCAATTTTGAGTTTAAAACTGCAACCGTGGAACTTACTCCACAGCAATAAAGGAGAATAGGCCCTTTGGCAAAATCAAAGTTCTGTCGCCTTGCAGAGAGACTTGTTAAGGCACCTCAGAAGTTAGGGGAAGAAGAAGATTCAAGCACTGGTCAACCAGACAGAGGCTAGGAAGCTGATAACCAGGATCCATTCCCATTCAACTCTGAGGCGAGGAATTGGCTGGACTTAGGCCCCGAGAGTTACCAGTACCAAGAGAACTCTGCTCTTGATCCGCTGAAGCATTCTGCTCAGCTCACACGGCTGATTTGCAAACCAATTCTCAGGAAAGACAAAATGATTCGTTTGTTGCCCACATCCAACCCTCCAGATCTGTATCACCTCTAGGGAATGTGCATGGGGTAAGGAGATGGTGCCTGGGATGAGGAGACGGAGTGTGAAGGACATTGAGGGGACCCGATGAAAATGACACGAGCTTGTTTTCTGGCTTCCCTGGGGAAAATGCTAGCAATGTTATTGAACTATTGCCTTATCTTCTACACATACTGTTCAATAAAGATGCCTGGGCCGAACGCACGTGCTGGCTGTTGTCCCAAGCACAGCTGTCATGGCCCATCTCCCATAAGTGTGCTCTGTTACCTCCTGGATGGGGCACACATGCCGGGTGACCTCATTTCAAAGTGCAGCCCTAGAAGGTTTCTAAACTCTGCTTCGGAATCTCTGGCCATTTCCCTGCTGCTCTGTAGTCTCTCAAGGACCCTGGGGCCCGTTCCCCCTAAACCTGCCTGCTACCTAACCCTCTAAACCACCCTTTGGACAGTTCCCTGGATGTGAAGGCTAAGACAGGGAGCTGAGCAAACAGGCATACCAGAAGGTCCTACTGCTGGCCCTCCCAGAGGAATCACAGGACACTGGAAGGGCAGAGGCTGCTGGATTCCCAAACCCCACGTCACTGAGTTTGAAGTTCCTCTTATCCAGGGGTTGATGGTGGGGGTCCTAGAGAGCAAGGGTCTGTGGAGACCCTTCTATTCTGCAGGGGTTAAGGATGGAGGAGCAGGCCAGACCCATAGTACAGTGGGTACGATGCATGCCTTGCATGCAGCCGACCCAGGTTCAATCCCTGCCCATCACATGATCACCCAAGCCCCACCTGGAGTGATCCCTGAACACAGCCAGTGTGGCCCAAAAAGCCAAAAAGAAAAGGGAGAGAATGACCTAGTATTCTGAGTTCCTCTGCCTGACATTTGTCCCTGCTGAGGTTACCAGGAAAAAGGTTGTGAATCAGCTCAGCTTTGTGACCTGCAGGAAACTCCCAAACCTCAGCCCTCACGGCTTCTTCCTCCCTCCAACCCATAACCAAGCTCCATGTGTAGGCCCATCACTCAGCGAGTCTGCTTCCCTGGTGGTTGAGCGTGTACCCTGGGCCGTACACACCCTGCACACATGGCCGCCCTCTTGCCCGAGATGCAGCCTCCCCGCGGCTTCCCAGGAGCTGGAAGCCCACCTTCCCTCCAGCCCCTTCCCACGGTCACGCTTCCCAAATGCTGCTCTGCAACTGTGGTCCTTAGACATTGGTCCCCTGGTGGAGAAAGATTGGAAACCACTGGCTCTGCTGCCTTCGTTCTAACTGAAGGTCTGTGGACAGGTCGCAGGTGTAGAAAGGTTGGGGAACACTGATCTGCAGACTGGTGATGCTGGAACCTTCGCTTATCTCATGCCCTCTCCTGCCTCTCCTTGCATATGCTCCCCTCCACTGCTCCCCAACTTAATCCGTGGGGGTTGGAGAGAGAGTACAGTGGTAAGGGTATTTATCACGCATGAACAGCTAACGTGACTTCAATCCCTGGCAACCCATGGTTCGCCCAAACCTACCAGAAGTAAGCCTGAAGCACCACTATGTATGGCCTGAAACCACCTTCTCGTCAAAAAATCTAAAATGCCTCCATGGCTCCAATGCTTTCCAACTCTGAGCACAGGTAAAGCTTCCACATTTAAGCTTCTTCAGCAGCTGCCAAACTTGTCAAAAATTGAAACAGAGGCTGGAGGGATAGTATAGTGAGTAGGGTGCTTTCTTTGCATGCAGCTGATCTGGATTTGATCCCCGGCATCCCATATGTTCCCCTGAGCACCACCAGGAGTGCTTCCTGAGTGCAGAGCCAGGAGGAACCCCTAGGCATCACTGCATATTGCCCAAAAACTAAAAAGAAAAGAAAAAAAGAGAAATGTTCCTCTACCATGAAATTGGAACATTCCTCTACCATGAAGACAAAACCCCAGCAACACTGATGAGCCACAAGAAATATGAAGCGGCCACGTGCTCCATAGGAACATGGTGGACAGATGCCATGATGAAAAATTATACAGACATCCATACCGAGGGAAGGACAGACTGGAACTGGGTTGGAAAATCATGAATAAAATTAGGATGAGCTATGGTAGCTGCCCTGAGTCATTTTCCCTTAAGGGTTTTCCTAACCCTCCTTTTGTACTTTTCTTTTTTTTTTTTTTAAGTTTTTGGGTCACACCCAATTGTGCGCAGAGCTTATTTCTGGCTGTGTGCCAGAGATCACTCTTGGTAGGCTCAGGAAATCATATGGGGTGCCAGGAATTGAACCTGGGATGGCCATGTGCTAGGCAAATGACTGAACAATTGCTGTTCTATTGCTGTACAGTCTACCTGCTGCACTATTGCTCTGACCCTTATTTTGAAATATTTCTATAAGGGACATTGACAAATCTGATAATAATTGCAAAGAGAAGTGACATCCCACATTTAACACTAAGGTAATAAAATAGATGACCATGTTTTCTTAATTCTCACACCTTCTTTCATACATCTGTGCCTGTCTTTAAATTGCACCCACTACCCTCACGTACAGGACTTGATAGTTTTCCTCAACAACACTTCCGACTACGCTACAAAGCTCAGGAGACTTGCATGCCCCACAAAGCCAAAGCAGGTATTAATCATCACAGGAGCCAGGACTAGACTCCACGTTGTCTAGTTGCTGTGGCTTGTACAACAGTCACTAGCTCCGTTCCCAGGTGAGACGTGCCCCCACTGCTGTATCCAGGCCATGCACAGCGGCCCAGGATTCTGCTTCCTGTGTTTCTAGAAGCCAGGCCCTCATTTCCTTACCACCGTTGGCTGGGGTTTCTCTCCGCTTCCTTTCTCAGGCTCAGGACCCCTCCCGTCCTCAGAGCCAGCCGAGGCAGGCTGCATGCTTCTCTGTCTTCCCAGCTTTCCCCACTGCTGCCTCCTCTGTGAGCAGCAAAGTTTGTGTGCTCCCATCTGGGCCACACTGCAGAACCCACGATACTCGCCTTGTTTTAAAGTCAGCTGATGAGTAAACGGAATGAAAGGTGAAAAGCCTCTCACAGCAATACCTACATTAGTGTTTGTTTGAGTCAACAGGCCTCTGTGTCAGCTCAGGCTTTGGTAACAAAATACCAGACTGAGACGCTGGAACAGCAGACGTTTGCTTCTCAAGCTTCTGGGAAGGCGGGAAGGGCCAGAGCAGGTGCTGGCGGGGCTGTCATGCTGTTTTGCTACTTGATGGCAGCCTTCTGCAGTCCTCAGAGGCTAACAGAACGGAGGGGGCTCTGGTCTCATCCTCCTTTTAAGGACATTAGTCCTCTGATGGGGACCAACATGACCTCAGGGAAACCTAAGTGACCCCCAAAGGCCTTCCCTCCTAATAAGTGGGAACAGGACATGGGGAGGGGGTTTTCAACACAAGAATTTTTAGTTCATGAAATTTGCTTGTAAGTGGATGGACACGGAGAGAATCATGCTGAGTGCAATGAGGAGAGGGAAAGGGACAGACATAGAATGACTGCACTCATTTGTGGGACATAAAAACAAAAACAAAACAAAACCAAGAAAACCAACCACACAGTAGGAGACTAAAACCCAAAGATAGTAGAAATGAGGCCAGGAGGACTGGTCCATAATTGGAAGCTTAACTTAAGTGTGGGGGAAAGGGCAGTTAGGATAGAGAAGGGACCACCACGGCAATGATAGTTGGAAAGGATCACTCAGGATAAGAACTGAGTCCTGAAAGAGGTAGAGGAATATACATGATAATTTTTCAGTACCTGTACTGCAAACCATAATACCCAAAAGGAAAGAGAGAGAATGAGAGAAAGAGAGAGAAAGAAGAAAAGTCCCTGCCACAGAGACGGGAGGGACACTGGTGGTAGGAAGTGTACACTAGTGAAGGGATGGGTGTTGGAGCATTGTATGACTGGAACCCAATCATGAACAACTTTGTAACGGTATATATCATAGTGATTCAATTTTTTTTTTGAAAAAGAATTTTTAGTGGTCATTAAAATTTGGTTAGCACTGGGGAGGGGGATGAATGTGGCAGGGGGACTGGGGAAAGGAATTATCTTAAAAATATTAGCAATGGAGCTAGAACAATAGCACAGCGGGTAGGGCATTTGCCTTGCATGCGGCCGACCTGGTTTCAATTCCCAGCATCCCACAAAATCCCCCGAGCACTGCTAGGAGTAATTCCTGAGTGCATGAGCCAGGAGTAACCCCTGTGCATCGCTGGGCGTGACCCAAAAAGAAAAAAAAAATTAGCAAGCAGACAATGGCACAGGGGCAGGGCTTGGCTGACCTGGGTTCAAATGCCCAGGATCACATATCAACAGGCCTCTCTGGCATCCACATGTTCTCTCCTGAGCACTCTCTGGGGTAATTCCTGAGCACAGAGCCAAAAGAGCCCAAGGTGTGGCCCAACCCCACCCCCCATCCACCCCTCACCCCAGCAAATGCTACTGTAGAAGGAAGGAAGGAGCGGATGGGGTAACTGCCAGGGTTCTCAGAGAATAATAAAACCAAGATGCTATTTAAGTTACTCTGGCATTAATCTTTAAAGTAGCCAAAAAAGCATTATGGCTGGACCCAAAATGTGGACACAGACCTGAGGTCTGAGAGTTCTCAAACTGGCCCCATCACAGGCCTAAAGGCAGCTGGACAGCCCTCCACCCTGTCCCCAGAAATGCTCCAGCAGTCACAGAGTAGTGACAAGGACATGGAGGCTGACCATGGGAAGTTCCAAGCCCTAACCTGAAATAACACAAAACTTTTAAATGATCTATTAAGAGGCTCAGAGTAAAGGTACAAGTCTCTATCACTGTGGCGTGACCTCTAAATAGTTATTTGTTTGGGGACCATAGTTGCGATGCTCAGGGCTTACTCCCTAGCTCTGCACTCAGGGATCACTTCTCATCGGGACCTGGGGACATGGGGTGCCAACGACTAAAGCCGGGACAAGCGCATGCAAGGCAAGCTTCTAAGGCTGTCCAAAGTCTCTAAAGTGTTTGAAAAACAAAACAATTCCCTATCAAAAATGACTACCAAACTCTCAAATGGCAACACTGAGTTTTCTGAAAACAGTAAAATACTTCTTACACTTAATTATGTAATGTCAAAGAACTTGGTATTTCTCAGCTGAGTAAGAAATTCCAATGGTTGGGGGCCAGAGTGATAGAACAGTGGGTAGGGCATTTGCCTTGCACATGGCCCACCTGGGTTTGATCCCCAGTATCCCATATGGTCCCCCAAGCACCTCCAGGAGTGATTCCTAAGTGCAGAGACAGAACTAATTCCTGAGTATCACTGAGTATGATCCAAAAAAAAAAAAAAAAATCCCAATGGCTCATCAATTTCAAACAAGATTATTTAAAACATCAAAAATGACACATTCTGTGTCCAAATGTTTAATTTTATTACAACTGCTTTCAAAGTCAGCTAGTAACATGACAAACACCATGGGGAGGTCTACAGTAAGTCTATAATTTCCAAGATACAAAAGATAATAAATATAGATTCAAATTCAGCCTAAAAATGAGATTCTAAATCGCATCGCCTATATTGTAGATCAGGTTCAATAGTTCAAATATTTGTATAAATCTTAAGCAGCTACAAGAAGTCACGTAAGAAAGTTATTGTGCACTGGTAACCAACTAACAGCTCTTCCCTGACAATAAACAAGCATTCAGAAACTTCTAGCCTTCGCCCGAAAGGGTGCCCCAGTGGGGGTGGTCCCAGTGAGGGTGCGGGGAGCACAGGTTTGCGGGCCGAGAAGCACCAGTGAGGCAGGATATCCAATGGCATCCCAGGTGCCACATACACGGTCCTATTTCTGACAGGAAACACGATTGTCAGTGTGTATCTTTCCCAGCATCGCCTTTATCTTGGGCTAGTGGACTCAGCGCACTCAGGACCTCTGCTTCATCATGCTGAATGTCCTCCACAAACAGCACATCCTCCCATCCTTCATTTGCTTCCAGAGCCAAGGAGCGTGGTTATTGAGTCTCATCAAATGCTTGCCAGGAACAACCATATGACTTTTTTAGTGATAACAGATTCATTCTTCATGTAATCGATTCCATGACCATCTCACGCCAAGCTCCTTTGTCTTGGTTTAATTCTTGGATATAGCTGCAAGAGAGTTTTAAAAACATATATGCATACCATATTAACTCAGAAGGACAAAACCACAAGAAATTCTGTGGAAGGGGGTCTGGTATCACAGCAAAGGAATCAAAATGAAGACAAAGCCTCATTTCTGCCACGTGAAGCACCCAGCGCTACCCGGATATGCAGAGAAACACATTTAGCAACTCCTCTCAAAAGACAGGCTGAGGTCACCAAAACTCTGAAGCATGTGGTGACACTACCACATTCAGTGGCAGAAAGAGGTCTCTGCGCATTAATTTAATCTGTGCCTCCTGCAGCAAATCAAGTCTAACAAGGAATACCAAGTCGTGAGGGCTTGCATTCCTGAGCAAAAGATAAGGTTCCTCTCTTTCTCCACAAAGAATGTAACCAGGGTACCTCACCACTTAAGGCTTCAGGATCCAAATTCCACAGAGGAGATTTCAAGGAAGGATAAGTGCAGAGTTTTGTTTTGGGATTTTCTGATTTTTTTTTTTTTTTTTTTTTTTTTTTTTTTTGCTTTCCAAAACAAAGCCAGAGAGGAGAGTGTTAATGATATTCCAAAGATCTCCTTCTGGAAACCCAAAACAAGTCAAACTAGTAATTGGACTCAAAAAACCCCTCAGACAAAAGGAAAGAAAGCAGAGTCTGACTTCCAAGACTAAACTAGCTGGTGGGCCAATGTTATACAAAGGCTTCTTTTTCTGAGAGAAGCTGGCCCGATATAAGTTTCTAGACTCACATGTGACCCTTGGCTAAAAATGTAGTATTTGTGCAATTTCCTTTTCTAAAAAGGGCTAAAGAAACAGCAAAGTATAGAGGCCACTTCTACCGAGAAAAGATCTGCATAGGAATTAGAACACTGGAATGTCAGACTGAAATGCAAGCCTTCAGTCCCTCCACGGGGCTGCTTTCAGCAGAGCCTTCTGAGAAGCACACAAGGCAGAACTCAAGAGTCGGCCCTCGGCTTCCAATCACTCTTGCGATATTTCTGGAATCACAGAACCTCTTTGAAAATTAAAAGGAACGTTTCAAATAAGCAACATGCTCCTAGGAGCTAGCTTCCAAGAGGTAGCAGGGCTTTCCCCAGATAAGAAACTTAGAAAAAGGAAATGCATTTGGCTGCTGCTGTTTATTACAGGAGGAAAAGTGACCACAGACAAGAGATTCTTGTCTGGAGCTAGATTTTGTCGAAGCAAAACAAGACGGCTAAAAGAGAACCATGCTTATATTTCTACTCTTGTCTGGAAATCTAAAAGCTTTCCTAAAAGTTTCCACGACCTGATTTTTTTTTTTTTAAAATTTCATGACCCTTTCTCCTTTATGTGCAAGGAGTGTGGCCTCAGCCCCACGGCACTTCCTATGTTTGCTCTCAGGAAGGCAGCCGTTGGGACACATGAGGTCATCTGGGCTCCCACTAGACAAACAACAATGGAGAAAGCAGAGGCAGGAGGGAACCTTCACTGCGCAGGCTCCAGACTGCCAGGTCCTGGCACCAGAACGTGTCCATGGACCAAACGGCCTGGATAGTAAAGCGAATTCACTGACAAAACCTTGCTCACAGCCTTTGTGGAGAAGCTGAGCTCTTAGGGGGCACAGACCATGCCAGTCCAGCAGGGGGGGGACACATCCAGCAAGAAATGTCCCCTCCCTCCCCACCCTCCTCCCTCTTTCAGACTCCTGCTCTGACTGCACAGCAGTCTCAGGGCCTGCCCCCAACCCTCACCCCTCCACTGCCTGTTAGCCAGCTGCCAAGGGCAAGCAGAAGGGAGTGCAAACCATAGCTCCGAACAATGTGCCCAGCCCCCAGACTCCTTGCCCACGCCCCTGGCGGCGGCCTCAGGGCAGACACCTGGCCCTTCCCTCCCTCAGTTTTTCAAGAAGACCCTCTGTGGCACAGGGGAAAAAGCATCCGACGTGTGGGGATCACTCACCCCCAGCAAGTTGCGTGGCACATAGCCCTCCTGGTCATTCAGCCGCGCCCACCACCACTCGATCTCGTCTTCGTCCTCCCTGCGCACGATGGTCATGCAGTCCCCCTCCTTCAGGGGCAGCTCGTCATCGTGCTGAGGCTCATAGTCCCAGAGCGCATAGATGACGCCTCTGTTCATGATGCCCATCTTCTCCTGGACCCCTGCATTCGCAAGAGAGAGACACAGAACAGTGAGCAGCTCAGAGAACTCTGTGCTTAGGGAGTTCTAGAAAGTTCTAGAAAGTCAAAGGGAAAGAAATGGGGGCATGCAAGAATGTCAGAAAAGCTAACAAGGCAGTTGGATGATGCCTCCAAAACTGCCCAGAAAGCACCGTGTAAAACTAATCTGACTCTAAATAGAAAAACTCTTCCAAGTACAGCAAGCAAAAAAAAAAAAAATTTTAAAAATGGGGTGTAGGATACATTTTAAAGGTGAGTAATAGAGCTGGGGAGATAGCTCAGTGGTTGGGGTGCCATGCACGGGGTCCCAAATTTGAAATTTAACATCTGGAAGGGCTCTCCCAGGTAAATACTTCAGGGCCCCAGCAGCTTGGGCCCTGCCACTGAACTCACAGGCCTGGTTGACTGGACATTGTGGTGTGTATGTGTGTGTGTGTGTGTGGCGGGGAGGGTGTTTCTGGCCCCTCTGAGCACTGTTTGCGAGCACCAACACTCCACACACACACACCCCCCCCAAAGGGAGGAACATACCTATCAAATTTCAGCCTACATTTTGTTTTGTTTTGGGGTCACTCCTGGCTGTGCTCAGGGTTTACTGATTCCTGGCTCTCTCAAGGACCACTCCTGGTGGGGCTCAAGATAATTTGGGGTGCTGGGGATCAAACTGGGGTTGGACATGTGCAAAGTGAGCACCTTACCCATTGTACCCACCTTATTCAGCCCCTTTCGGCCTACTCTGAGGTGCAATGACCAAGAAACTTTGAAAATTTTTATTCTTTTTGTAAAACTTAGAAGCCAGTATTGAGACTATTGAAGTTTTCTCTGTTAATTTCCACATGGAGAACAATTTTTAAAAATTACAAGTATTGTTTTGCTATATGTTAGAGAAGAGCAACAAGATAAACAATTTATACATGGCTTTTTTATAAACCTAAATACAGATATTTTGTACATGATCAAAGTTTTCATAGGGCCTACACTAAAATAAAAAATATAAACTACATTGAGGGAAAAATCCTCAAAACGTTCACTTTTGGGGACCGGAACAACAATATAAAATGTAGGGCAGTGGCTTTGAATGAGGCTGGGTTCAATCCCCAGCACCTCATATGGTTCCCTGAGACCATCAGGAGTTATCCCTGAGCACAGAGCCAGGAGTAAGGCTGGAGCACTGCTGGGTATCGCCCAAAGAACAACTACAACAACAAAAAAGAAAGGGAGGAAAGGAGGGAGGGGAGGGGGGAGGAGGATGAAGGAGGGAGGGAGGGGAGGAAGAGAGGGAAAGAGGGAGAGAGGAAGGAAGGGAGGGGGGAAAGAGTGAGGGAGGGAAGGAGCGAGGGAGGGAGGGAGGGAGGGGGGGAAATGATGAGAAGGACCAAGAAGAGACCTTGAGGTTTTCCCTCAAATCCTCTTCCATTTCCTGAGAGCCTGAACACCTGCCAGGGGAGGCCAGAGCCTATCTGGACCTCAGGGCCATGCCTCCAACAGGCACAGAGCTGCTAAGAGCCTGAGAGATACAACAACTTTGTCTCTTTTCACTTCTGCACAAGCTCAGCTAAACAGCAAAGTGAGCCTTTTATATTAAGTCTTTGAAATAAAGTGATTTTTTTCCTAATAAATAAAAAGATCTGTCTTTGTGAAAGAAACCGACTAATCAAAATAAGAAACAGAGAACCAAAGGGGAAAAGGTTCGCTCTGGGGCAGGGGCTGCCGCGCTCTCCAGACGAGCCTGGTTCTTAGGGAAGGAGGGGGGCTGGCTCTCCTACCATTATGCTGTGCTTCCCACACTCCCTGCTGAGGGAGGTGGCTGGGCTGCTCACTTCCATCACTGTCACTGGCAGAGTACCACCTGCCTGTGCAGAGGACCAGCAAGAGCCACCAAAACCTGGCTCGGAGGCTGCTGCCACATCCCAGTCTACCAATATGCAGGGCGACCCCTGAACCAACCCCAGCCTGTTTCTCTGTCTCAGAGAAAAGTGAGTTAGAGTGACAGCACAGCAGGTAGGAAGTTTTCCTTGTACGCGGCCAACCCAGGTTCGATTCCTCAAACCCTCTTGACGAGCCCGGCAAGCTACTGAGAGTATCCCACCCACATGGCAGAGCCTGGCAAGCTCCCCATGGCATATTCGATGTGCCAAAAACAGTAATCTCACAATGGAGACGTTACTGGTACCCACTCAAGCAAATCGATGAACAATGGGAAGACAGTGCTACAGAGAAGAGTAGGAACCAGAGGGACCCGGAAGCAGGAGCTGCGCCAACCCTCGGCCGCATCACGCACCATAGAGAAACTGGGAGCACTGGGTGTAGCCTTCCTCCATCTCCTCACACTTGTCGGCAGCGGTCTGCATGTCGCTGCAGGTCATGGCAAACACGGCGGCCCCCGACTCCACCAGGAACTTGCACACCTGGACGTTGTTGCAGGAGGCGGCGCAGTGCAGCGGGGTCCTGTGAACAGGACACAGTGAGGGGTGCTTTCCGGGCAGCTCTCACAGCCTCTTCTGTCACCTATTCAACCCTCTGGAAAAACTCAAGCCTTGCTTATATTTTAAACATTTTTTTTCCAGGGAGGGACACACCTGACAGTGCTCAGCGTGACTCCTGGTTCTGCACTCAAGGGTCACTCTGAGTGGGCTGTGGGGGACCAAGGGCGGGACCAGGGATCGAGCCCAGGTCAGCTGTGTGCAAGGCAACTGCCCTACCTGCTGTGCAATCTGTCCAGCTGCCAGGTAAAACATTATCTTAAATCAGACCCATCCTACAAAACTCCAAACCCTCTGGGTAAGTGCTCTCACGCTATTTTGCTGTTACAGTTTTCAGGTCACACCCAACTGTGGTCAAGGATTACTCCTGGCTCTGTGCTCAGAGATCACTCCTGGTGGGTCTCAGAGGACCACATGGGGTGCTGGGGGTAGGACCTGACTTGGCCATGTAGCAGGCATGCTCCCGACCCACTGTGCTCTCTCCCCAGCCCCTAAAAGGCATCTTACCATCCGTCGCTATCAGCAGCATTTACATTCACACCAAACTGCACCAGGAACTTGACAATCTCGGTGTGGCCGGCACACACAGCGTTGTGAAGTGCTGTGATGCCTTCGTCATTCGGCAGGCTGGGGTCATCAACCTAGAACGGCAGTCAGCAGGGGCACTGTCACTCAAACTCTCCTCGCCTGAACTGCCACTATTAACTGGCTCCTTAGGAGCAAGAGAACAGAAATAAGCTCTTGAGGTATTTTTTTAAATCATAATTAAGATACACAAGAGCCAAGAAAACTATCCTGAGAATGAGTCTAGAAATAAGATAGACAGGACAACCAAATGATGCAGACAACTCACTATAGAAAGCAGACTGCTTTTAAATCGAGGGAATGGTACCAGAAACGATATACACTTACCGTCATTTCTGTTTACTTATTATCCAATTTCCTACCGCAAATTAGTGTCTAAGGAGAAGTTACACTTGCCACGGAAAGGAAAAGGAAGTCAACTAAAAATATTTTAAATAGCAGGCTTCTGAAAAGCAGGGGCCATCTGTGTCATTTACCACTATATAGTATAAACCCACACATGAGCAAGTTTGGAGAAAAATAGGAAAAGAAAAGAAAGAAGAGAGAAGAAATGAAGAGCAGGAGTGTGGGTGGGGGGTGGGCAAGGCCCAGCAGGGATCTAGTGACCCTCAAGCGAAAATACCTTCTTTTGCATTATTGAAAAAGGTACAGTCACACCTCATACCAAGCACTGCCGGTTCTGGAACATGAACAATAATTCCATGCCAACCTCCCGCCCCCCAAAAAAGAACTCGATTTGCTCGAGCGGGCCCAGTAACGTCTCCATTGGAGACTTTGTTGTTACTGTGTCTGGCATATCGAATACTCTCGGTAGCTTGCCGGGCTCTCCGAGAGGGGCGGAGGAATCGAACTCGGGTCGGCCATGTTGGCCGCTTATAAGGCAAACGCCCTACCGCTGTGCTATGGCTCCAGCCCCCCAAAAAAGAACACAAATCACAAACCCAATGTCCCTACAGAAATGTTACCCAGTTTTCAAACAGAAAGTCCTATGTAAGAAATCATACCTCATAAATAATTCTCTGTACAAGGTCAAATTCTCCCTCCAAAGAGGAATCTAGAAGTAAAGCAAGGGGGTTGAACTTCACCCTCATTCCATGAGCAATCCGCTCTGAGCCAATTTTCCGTAAGTTTGTCCTTTTGCCCTGTCAAGGAAATGCACAGAAAAGTAAGGATCTGGGTGTAAGCGAGGGAGACAAAAACAAAAGGGGAAGAACGGCAGAATGTCTTAAAGGAACTTTAAAAATAGCAAATTCTATTGAAGTCAAACCTAAGTTAGAAGGTGTACAAACATACAGATAAGTGAATTTTCACAAAGCAAATTACACCAATGAAGGCAAGCGAAAGTTAATTTTATATAGCCTAGTGAAATTATATATGTGATATATATTATATATGTATATATAAGGGTACACACACACACACACACACACAGAGATCATGAACTTATCTAAGTGTATAAGCTGGGATTGCAAGAAGGCTGGGTTTCTGTCCAAATAAGGAAGATTGGTATTGAAATAACCTGTCTCAAGTAGCCAAGGAAACCACCGAGACTATGAAAATGGGTAAGAGCATGACTTGGAATTTCCACGGCTAACAGTTATGGAATGTAGCAGCCACACCATTACAGAAAGCTTTGCCTATTCCTCACAGAAACCCCCTTATCATAATTTACAGATAAGAAAATTAAGGCATGAAGTCAGTAAACATCTGAGCTGAGACTAGTCCCATTAATCTGACTTCTCTGAAGCACTCCTTCCTAGGGGAAAGTATATAATTAAGGTAAATAAATGAAGATTAGTCTGTTTTAGATATATCAACAAGGAATCCTGCCAGTTTTTAAATGCTAGCATTACTTTGCATTAAAATCTTAATTATACTCTAAGATATTAGATTAGTCAGGGCTGAAGAGACAACTCAACGGTCCAGAGCACATGCTTTACGTGCAGGAGACTCATGCTGAATTCCTGGCAGTGCATCATCTCCCAAGAATTGCCAGGAGTGACCCCTCACCCCCAAGAACAGAGCTGGGAATAGCTCCTTAGTACCAGGGGTTCAGAACAAAAACATGAGAACAAACAAGCCAAATAAACCCCACACATAAATAGATGAATCTAGTCTTTCTACATTTTACTATATCAAGCCCTCGCCTCCCCCAAAGAAAAAAATGGCAACGATTTGATCAACCATCAACAGGCTTTTCACAGAGGTTTAAAATTTTCCAAAAGGGAGACTGCAGTACACAAATCTCACTTCGTCTTAGATGCAAAAACTACTGTTTTGAGAAATATTAAATGACAATGACTTTCATAAATGTATAATGGCCAAAATGCTTACTTCCCGAGGGCCGAAGCAATAGTACAGCATGCAGGGCACTTGCCGTGCACACGGCCAACCCAGGTTCGATTCTTGGCACAACATCTGGTCCCCAGAGCCTGCCAAAAATGATCCCTGAGCACAGAGCTAGGAATAAGCCCAGAGCCACAGTCCGGTGTGGCCCCAAAACAAACCAACAAAATTGTTCACCTAACCCCTTCTAATGACCTCTTCCCACCCTCCCACCCCCACCACTCCCGCCTTTTGTCCAGAATTCTCTGATATCATTCTTGGTAGAAAGTTGGAGATTCTGCCTAGAATAATGTTATAAACAAATGATGCCGGCTCCGCCAGGGTCTCAGAGGCTTGCCTTGCAAGCATTGGATCCTGGTTAAACCCCCGACAATGCATTTGCCCCCCGGCCACCTGAAGCACCACTTGCCGGGATTACTCCTTAACACCAAGCCAGGAGCAAGCCCTGAGCACCACTGGGTATGGCTCGAAAACAACCATGATGAAATCAACCCTGCCATTTGAAAAAGCTCGAGAGTGCTCTCACCAACGAGAGAAGTGAAGCCACCTGCCCGATTCTGCAGGCCTGCACTGTGGTCTACCACGTCCAGCCCAGGTCTCTCCAGCTCCCCATCAAGTGTTCCTTAACTGATGTGTGATCTCGACACGAGTGAAGCAGGAATGTGGGGCTTTTAGGAAAAAAACTTTTTTGTGCACAGAGAAAGTGGCTCTTAGGGGGAATGTTACTTACATAGAACAGATCTGGGAACATTTAGGAGTTGCGCTCTGTGTCAAGGGCAATTGAAAAAGAAGATGAGAAAAGCCTGCATAAACTGTCTGCTGTGTTAGGTGGTTTCCATGCAAACCCTCTTTCAAGGGTGGCCATTTGCCTCACCAAGGTTTGGTAATGCAGCAACGAGAAAAGGGTGACATGGTACAAGGGTCCTGCAAGGACCGTGAGAGCCCGAATTACTTACGGGAGGTAGAGGGGCCTGCCCGGTGACCTCGGGTGGACACATGTTCCCAGGGTCTTCTCCAGGCCCTTCAGGGTCCCCAGAAGGGTATGGCGGTGGTGGGTAGGGAGGGTACTCCTCCAGGTAGCCTTCCAGCAGACTGGGGGCCTCCACATTTGATTCTTCCACTCTATTCTGGAAGTTTGGAATGCTGTCAGCGGCTCCCTCGGGCACGTACTCAAGGCCTGGAGCCGGGGACGGCAAACCGCTGTGCTCTGTTCCCACACTCCCTGCTTCCTGTGGGGACATGGGCTCGGGGGCCGGGGAAACCACCTCCTTCTCTGGTTCCACGTGCAAATACGGATTCTGGATTTCCAGGGGGCTTTCTGGGCTGACAGTCACTGGCGTGGGCTTGGAGGGGTGCGAGGGGACGGAGATGGTCTCCATGGCAGCAAGGGTGGTCCGCTGATACAGAAGTTTCTGAATGTTCGGCCCATTGGGCCCCTCGGGCTCTGTGATAGAGCTGCGCTTCTTCAGGGGCCTCGGCGCATTCGACAGTTTCTTTCGGAGGGCTTCCAAGTCGGCGTCACTCTGGTTGCGGTAAGGGTTTGACAAGAAAGGCAGCAGTTTGGTTGGGCTGAGTGGCCGAGGAATCCTCTCATTTTCCTGGCTCTCCTGGAGGGAAGATGAAGTCTCCGTGTCTGGTTCGGGACTGCCAGGCTTGCTCTGGTTAGTGGAATACACGTTCTCCGGGTACTGCGACGAGTTTTGGGCTGCGGCAACCACGGGCTTGCCGTAGACTAATCGGAAACAGGCAAAAATTAAAACCCTGAGCAACAGACATGGTGGCGTACAATAATTAAGACCTCTTTTCATTTCGCAGTTATCACAGAAGTCCCTTCATTGCAATTGATTTATGAAATAACAAATGACAAAGCAAGGTTCCATCACTGCATAATCGGCCTCATACAGAATCTAAACCCCCACTATTTGGAAACATGCACCACTGTTTCATGGACCAGCAGAGAAGAAACTGCTGCCAATTGTAACTGGGAAGAAATCTATGACAGCATGACCCAGATTTAAAACGTAACAAGATACAGAGCCAAGGAAAACTGGGGATCATTTGTGTATTCAGATTAAAAGTAAACTGGCAATGTCCCATCTTTCATAATTTTCAAAGTCAATGTGAAAACTCATATTCAGCTCATACAAGTATTTAGAACCACTTATATTTACCAAAACTATTCCCCTCAGCACTACTAGAACTACCTAATTCCCAAATTATCCTATTAGCTGTTTTCACCCAAAGACCCATGAGAAGAAAAGAGTCAGACATAGATATCCATTATTACTTTGCTGACTAATCATCTGTACATTTTAGGCCCCCATTAAAGGCTTCTTTCATAATTAGGAAGTCATTTGCATTCAATTAAAACTTGGTGAATTTTATTTTAATCTAGCAAACTAATGAACCTAATGAACCTTAATGAACCTTAGAAAAGTCAATAAAGTACCATAATATTTTCATGTTCTTATATTTACAAGGAGAGCTATTCTCAGAAAAAATATAATGTCTTCAAAATACATCTGTATTGCAAACCATAATGCCTAAAATGAGAAAGAAAGAGGGGGGGAGAGGAAGAAAGAGGGAGAGAGAGAGGTGGGGGGGAGAGAGAGAGAGAGAGAGAGAGAAAGAGAGAGAGAGATTGAGAGAGAGAGAAGCGAGGGCTTGCCTACCTGCCATATAGATAGGCGGGAGATGGGGGTGGGGGGTTGCTTGGAAGGGTGGGTGGAAAACTGAGGGCACTGATGCTGCGAAACTACACTGGTGGAGGAATGGGTGTCGGAACATTGTATGACTGAAACCCAATCATGAACAGCTTTGTAAATTTTACACAAACACACACACACACACACACACACACACACACCAGCCAGGGATGTGGCTCTCAGTGGTAGAACTCATGCCTTGAATGCATGAGTTTAATCCTCAGTACCATCAAAACAAAACAAAAACCAAAATATTCAAAGGGGAAATTGCCCTTTCTTTTATGGTCCATTAACATTGGTGAAGGTTAAAGGGGCCAGGGAGAAAGTTCGGTGGTACCACATGGCCCCTGAGCACTGCATGGGGCTCTCACGCTCCAATCCAAGCATTAGTTGGCTGAGTTTCATCAGAAGTGACCCCTGGGCTTCCTGAGTATGGCTTGGGAGCTGCCCGGATAGACAGAAAAAACAAAGCAAAGAAAAAACCAAAAACCCTAGGGAACAGACATAGGTTTCGTATTGTAATTACCCATGTCCTGATTTCTCTTTCTAAAGGAGCCCAAGAGTGAGTAGAGAACCCGACTTGGGCTCAATCCCCAGCACTCCACTTGGTCCCTTGAGCCCACCAGGAGTGATCCCTGAGCAGAGAGTCAAGAATAATGCCCTGAACACCACTGGGTGTGTTCCAAAAAAATAAAAAGTGAGTAGAGACCCAATAATGCACCTGACAAAACGTTATCCTAGAGATTCCCTCACCCCTCTCGCATTTATTTATTCTTTCTCATCTGTTTCATTGTACTTGCATTTCATTTCAGTCACTGTTTTCTTTAGCAGTTGATGGTAAGGCAGAAACTTTTAAGCTCCCCACAGAGACTTGGAACAGCGACACACACGTGGTTGAGAACAAAAGCATCAACCAAACCCGGGGCAGACCCTGTTCAGCCAACAGGGAGGGCCCTCTCGTGGGGCCCACGTGGATCCCCCACGAGGTGAGAGGACAATCTGAAACTTACCGCTGGAGAAGTGGGGGCCTCTGGGCTGTGTCTTGGTCAGGGCACTCTGCACGGCCTGCTGGAAGTTCTTGCCAGGGGCTTGCTGCTGTGTATACATGGAGTAGATGGAGCTGGTGGCCACTGTCTGGGGCTTGCGGAAGGGGGCGAGGGGAGCGTCTTTGGTAGGCTGGGGGGTGAAAGGCCTAACCGCGGCAGCAGGTGGGCTTTCTTGCTTAGCATTTGGAGAAAGGGCCTGGTCTGGGCCCGCTGGAGGTACACCAGGGGACAGCAGGACCCTCTGTGGCTGGCCCGCAGGTTTGGGTTTGCTTCCGATGGAAACAACAGCTGCTGACAACGGCTGCAGACTTCCGTCTGCCTTCATGTCTGCCGCTGACTGATTTGTCTGTCCGAAATAAGGCAAATTAATCTGTTTGGGTTTTGATGGTACAGGAGGTGGCACTTTGGCCACATTTTTATTGGCAGCCTGTAAAATACACACAGAAGTCAGTTTAAATATTATTTAAGTGGGAAGCCAGGATGTCTGAGGTGACTTAATTTTACAAATATACGCATATACAAAACACAGCAGCTCTGCATTTTCAACTCATTTCAGGTTAATAGTGTTTTTTTAATTTAATTATATTTAATGAGGATTTCAGTCATGCAGCAAATTGCCCCCTGCTATATACAACTTCCTCCTTACTGCCCCTTTCCAGTTGGGAATTCTTGAAATGTTGACCTGAAAGGTTTGTCTGCTTATTTGTTTTGGCATTGTGAGGAACAAAATCCAAAACTTCACAGTCATCTGAAAACTTTCTGTGGGCAGGAGGGTGATGCCTGCTGTAGCTCAGGGATGCTGAGAATGACTCCCAGCATAAGAGCGAATAGGGTCAGATGGTTCGGTGGCTGGCCCTGAGCACTGAGCCAGGAGTAAGCCCCAAGAACTGCAGGGTGTGTTCCCCACCACCCTCCAAAAAAACAAATTGGATATTCTTTGAGGCATTCACCTATTTTGGAGAATTAGACAAAATGAGCCCCAGACATAAATGATTCTCCAATACTGGCTGAGACAGAATATATTCCAGAAATTAAAGGATTTACAAAGCTGATTACCAAGCAGTGGGGCAAGTGGAGGGGGAATAAGCATCGAAGCAGAGGTGAAAAATGATGATTGGCAGAGGGTCATGGCATTTTGGTGTGGTGAAGTACCGTAATTTTTTTCACCAACACTATAATCTTAAACACCAGTGCAACCATAATACCTAGAGTATAATAAAACTTTTTGATAAACTGAAATAACAGAAACGCTGCCATATTTTCAAATTTCCCAGTTTCTTTCTCACATAAAACTTATTAAATAAAAAAACCCACAGAGGCTGGAATGTGGCTCAAGGGGACAGTGTATGCCTGGCCTATGGCAGGCTCAGGGTTATATCCCCAGCACCCTTGTCCTCCTCCAAAACAGCTGGCAGCCAGGGAGACGGGGGATTATTTTTATCCTACATGTACCAAAACCAAAAACAAAATAAAACATAAAGCCTAGAATTAAAGCTCCATGGAGTAAGAAAGAGGGAAAAACTAGACAAAGGGCAGGGTCAGAGACATAGTACAGGAGTTAGGGCGCTCACCCCTGGCTCCATCTCCAGCACCACATGTGGTACCCTAAGCACTGCCAGTGATGCCTCCTGAGCATCACCAGGTATGCACCCCACTCTCCCCACAAAAAATGGCCATTGAGAATTATCAGTTTCTTTTCAAAATTGGGCTACTCTTAAGTACCTGTGCATCCCGTAGGATATCTTCACTGCTCTGGTTTTTCCTCAGAGTCCCAAAGGCAGAAGGGGCAGCAGCCTGGTCAACCGTGTCAAACATGGAGAAGGGACGCACCTTCTTCTCCTTCTCCCTCAGAGGAACCTCCCCATCATCAGCTGCATACAGGAAAGACTCACATTCAAACTGTGTGCAGTGAAATTCCTTCTTTGCGCAGTTTTCTCTCCCCTCAATTTTTTTTTGGAACCCTGTACCCCCCTAAATGTTTTCATATTTTTGAGCTGATTTTTAAAAATTAAGAAACTGTGACTTATGAAGTCACACCTTGTTGAGTTTAAGCATGCTATGGTCTAGCACCAGTCCCACCGCCAATCTCCCCAAATTCCCTCCCACCCACCTCTCGCCAACCCCTCCCAGCCTGCTGGTCGGGCACACTACTAAGTTGGGTTGTTGTGATCTCCTGCTTTCAGCGCTGCTGACTGTGACATGAACACACAGCTATGCCACTCCTCTATACGCCTCCCCCAGACCCCAGGTCCTTAGCCCATACCCCCCATCATCACTCCCCATCCACTGCTTCTTGTTATCACCACAGCCCCTGGCCCCTGACTCAATCTCTTTCCTTCTCTATAGTTCTTCTTCTTCTTATATTCTGGGATCAAGATTTAAAAAGATTTAAAAATAAGTTTAAAAAAACTTAAGAAACTACACATTACAATGTACAAATCCTAAGCCCCCATCTACATTAAGTATTCTGGAAATAAATATTGTCCCATGACTGAACACAGTGGAAAATTATACTTTTGTAAAAAGAAATACAAAGTCACCTTGGAGAGAGAGAGAGACGGAGAGAGAGAGAGAGAGAGAGAGAGAGAGAGAGAGAGAGAGAGAGAGAGAGAAAGACAGGCAGACAGACAGGCAGACAGACAGGCAGACAGACAGACAGACAGAGCACATCCAGGAGCACACAAACAAACCTCACCTGGATCAGGAGTGGTCCCAGAGTTTTTAGAGACAGAAGCAGAGGCTTGGTTTGGGAAAAGATCTGTGTTTGGAGAACTCCAATCAGGGCCAAGTGGATGGATTTTAGAGCCTAGAATGCAGAGACGCAGCTACAAATAACTCGATAATACTTTCTCTTTAATTTTCAATTTTATGCACTTGCCTTTATTTTCTCTTTCACTCTATGGAGTTTCAGTGGGCTCACTTGGCTGATACAAATTTTAATCTCCAAAAACAGGTTTAAAATTTACCCCCATCACAATCTCGGTGAACTTATTTAGAATATAATGACATTTTGTACTTCCCATTTAAGATGTTCCCCTCATTCTGCAATTTAAAACTCATCATGGCAAACAAAGCTTGGACCAGAGACAGTACACTGGGTAAGAGCAATTACACACACACACACACACACACACACACACATACACACACACACATACACACATACACACACACGCATGCACGCAGAAATGTAGAATTGGGGGCCAACAGTAGAGTAATAGTATAGTGGGTAGAGCACTTGGTCTTGCATGCAGCAGACCCAGGTTCCATCCCCAGCACCTCATATAGTCCCCTGAACCTGCTGGGAGTGAGTGATCTTGAGTATAGAGCGTGGACTAAGTCCTGAGCACCAAGACTGTGCCTCCCACCACCCCCCCAAAATTGGGGTAGCATATTAGGGCCCAGAGAGATAGGATGAGCGTGGTGGGTTAAGACACTGGCCATGTACACAGCTGACCCGAATTTAATCCCTGGAGTCACATATGGTCCCCCAAGCAGCACAAGGATTGATCCCTGAGCACAGAGCCAGGAATAAGTCCCAAGCCCTCCCCACAAACAAGAAAAGAGAATTTTAACCCATGTTTTGACCAGTCCTTCACTAATTCAGGTATTTTTTTTCTACACTGATACTTAATCTTTTAAACCAAAGCTGTTCTTTCTTCCTTAAAGAAACTAAAGTAACTCTTCTTACAAGTAAATCCCAACTACCAGGAACCGCTGCTTCACTGTGGTAATTATGGTAAAAATAATGAAAAATTTTAAAGTGAGGGATTCTTTTGCCCAGGGCACTGGTTAGGGAAGAGAGTCAATCCTGGGTATTATGTTCTCCCAGAGGCAAAGAAGAAAGGGCACTGCAGAAACATTTTCACTCGGCTTTCTTCCTCCCAGTACAAGCTCTGGAACATGCAGCTCCCCTGAAACTGAGAAGGGCACCCAGTGTGAAGATGACGGACACAGGGGCCTCTGTTGGCGTGGCTTTTGTCTCCCCAGAGCTCCACCTTCCTTGTGAGCACTGTCAGGAAGCTCCCCCTCACCTGGAAGCAGACAGGACACGTGAGCACTGACTCAGATGACCCCACCAATACAGATGTGCTGCTCTGACCATCCAAGTTATTAACATCAGATCACAACTTCCCCTCTAACCTGAAGACTCGGGGGAGGGGGGTAATTTTTTTTTAAATTTCATTTGATTTCACTGCCTGCTGAGAACGAAAGCATTCAGGGTTTAAGAAACGTAATGTGTCACTTACAAAGAGATTCTTAGAAATGAGATGTGAACACAGGCCAGGAAAATTTAAAAACAGAAATAAAAACTCAAGCTGGGGAAAAATAATAGTGAGGGCAGGCGGAACAAAGCTTGCGAAAAGACCAAAATAACTTGGTTTTTTTTATTACCTTTTGCTTGTGCCGTGGCCCCGGATCTCATATTGGGCAGGGTCTGCACTTTGATCTGCCCCTCAGAAGCCTGCATAGCCAAGGAACCGTCAGGCAGAACTGGCTTCACCAGGAGTTCGGGCCGCGAGGCGAGCCGAGGCATAGTGGAGGACTGGATGTAGGGGCCCACCGCGGCCACGCGACTTGGGGCGGCCAGGCCTGGCTGCGGGAGATTGCCATCAGGAGAGACCTGCAGGGGGGAACACAGTCCTGAGTGCCTGGCCTGCCGTACCCCACTCCAGAAAGGCTGGGACTTCTCACCACTCTAAAAGAATCAGCACTTTCAGGGTCTAGCCATCAGGCCTGCAGAGACACCCCCCAAAACAAAGGCACTGCCTAGTCCCGCTCACCCAGGTTTCCGGTCTCAGGATGCAAAAGAACCAGGTAAGAACACGGAGAACAGAGCTAAACCGTGAGGAGCCCTGCGCAGTCTTGGAGGGCGCGCTGAGCAATGAGGGGAAGAAGCTGCTGGCTGGTGTTTCATCTACCAGCATCCCCGCCCCCCCTACACACACACCCAGGCCCCCAGACCCCCAGGGGCTTCTCCACTTCCCGGATTCACGCAGGGCCCAGCACAAACAGGCTCACTTACAGGGAGATTCTCTTTCTGCTGCAGGGCTGCCTTCTTCTTCCACAGACGGTCCCTCAGCTCATTAACACGCTTGTCCATGAGCGCTACTTCTGAATTGCGCTTATTCAAACACTCCCTCTGTTGCTGCAGCTTAGCATTCTGTTCTTGATTCAATTTGTTTCTTAACTGAATAAAATGGAAGGAGGGGGAAAAGGGGAGAGGGAGGACCAGGCATTAAAAAAAAAAAAAGGAAAAAAAAAGACCTCACAAATGGATAATCACATGGTTCACTATTACGTAATTTCTAAAAAAGTGAGGTCACTCCCCTCCTCCCAGCTTCTCAGCCCAGACTGACCCAGACCACTGGCTGTGGTTCGAGGACATGCCTCTCACTTCCTGGCTGAGTTTCTGAAAGCTTCTTCGGGATGCTGTGGGCCTGAGGTCCCACCAATGTTTCCCTTAGCCCCAAATGTTTCCCCCTCGAGGAACAAAAATACCCAATCCAGCCCAATCCAGCCTGCCACGCCTGCGTCCCTGCAGCCAGGCTTCACCTGCAGCTCCTTGTAGAGTCGGTCGAGCTCGGCCACAGCAGACTGGCTGTCGTGGTGGCCGTCGATCCTGCCATTCTTGAGCATCTCCAACTGTCGGGTAAGTTCCTCTACTTTAGACACAGCCAGGACGAGCTCCCTCTGTTTCTGCTGGAACAAACTATTCATCTGCTCAATTTCCTCCACTAGAATAAGAATGACAAAACAACAAGAGTTGGAAAGGAAGAATGGACCACTTTCTAAGCAACCGGGCCTTACAATGAACAGTCTAACCGAAAGTAGAAAAACTTTCCAGAAGCGTCCCAGAAACAAACTCCCAGTAAGCAAAAAAAAAAAAAAAAAAAATTAACATAGAGCAGAACAGAGACCTATAATGTCTGTGTTTTAGTCTAAATACATCTGCAACGTAATCTGCTTTTTTATTAAGTCTTAAACTCCAAATCCTTGAAAACACAATGTCTATCTTTTAATCCCAATTCAACAGTGGATGGAATGGAATTATTAAATAACTAAAAATTTAACTACAAATGGTCTTGCAAGAAATAGAGCTATTATGTGACAGAAAAAAACAAATAATAAAGGAATAAATTAAAAAAATCTTCATCTTCCAATTTCCAACAAAAATATTTAAGCTATTATTGAAGTGTTCAATGCTAACATTAAAATTGTTTTTAAAAATTATTCAATTTATTTTTATTGAATCACTGTGAGATACACAGTTATAACACGTTTCATGATTGGGTGTCAGTCGTACTACTCTCTAACACCCATCCCTCCACCAGTGTACATTTCCACCAGCAATGTCCCCAGTTTCCTTCCCCTTTCCCCCAGCCTACCTCCAAAGCAGCCTCCCTTCTCTCTCCTTTCTCCTTTCTTCCCTCTCTCTCTCTCTTTCTCTCTCTCTCTCCTTTTAGGCATCATGGTTTGCAATACAGGCACTGAAATTTCTTTTAAAATTTTCTAGGGCCAGGGAAATAGCTTACGGGGCCATTAGCACGAAGGCAGTGTGAGCAGGAGCCCAGGTTCCAACCCTGGCACTGCTTGGAATGCTGCCTCAGCATCTCAGAAAAGCAACCCCTGAGCACAGAACCAGGAGCAGCTCCTAAGCACCATAGCTCCCCCCCCTCCAAACTTACAAATATCCACATAACATCTCATCTAATTCTTCTGCTGGAGTGATAGCACAGCAGGCCAGCAGGCATTTGCCTTGCATGTGGTTGACCCGGGTTCGATTCCTCCACCGATCTCGTAGAGCCCGGCAAGCTACCGAGAGTATTCTGCCCGCACAGCAGAGCCTGGCAAGCTCCCCGTGGAGTATTAGATATGCCAAATACAGTAACAAGTCTCACAATGGAGACCTTACTGGTGCCAGCTTTAACAAATCGATACAATGTTACAGTGCTACTACATACACATTTATATATACTGCCTACAGCAATGTGCCATTTTATACCAGAACAGTTTTGTTTTTTCCTTTTTGATGGGGGCCACATCTGACTTGCTCAGGGATTATTACTCCTGGCTCTGCACTCAGGAATTACTCCTGATGGGGTGCGGGGGACCATATGGGAGGCCGGGGACCAAACCCAGTCGGCGACATGTAAGGCGACCCATCCACCCCATGTACCAGAACCGTTTGAAACACAGCTGCCTCCGGCTCCAGGCGCTCACCCAGCTTCCCGTTGCTCAGTCTCTTCTGTTCCACGTGGCCTTTCAGTGCTCTCACTTTTTTGAGCTTCACTTCCTGAATCTCGGCTATTTCTTTGAGCTTCTTCAGTTTCTCCTGTTCAGCAGCTTGTTGCTGTTGACGCTGATCTTGCTGTTTCAAAAACTGTAAGCGCTGTTCCTGAAGAGAAGAGCAATCACCAGCCTGTGATTGCGAACAGATGTGCCACTCACCCCCAAATAAAGCAGCCGTCGCCTCGGGTGCTGGGAGGAGCAGCACCAGCCACCGGCTGGCCTCCCCATTTCCTGGGGCACTGTTCTCCCAGCAACCTTGGGGAGTTTGCAAAGAACAGACTCTCCTGGGTCCAACCTCCTGATCTTTGGAGAATTTTTTCTTTTCTTTGACTGTTGTTTTGCTCAGGGTCAACATGTGCAGGCAAACTCCCTCCCCATTGTACCATCTCTCCAGCACCAGCAATCAACCTTTTGTTTTTTTTAATAAGGACAACTTAAATGTACGCCTTTGCTATTCACCAGCTTGCTAACAAGGCAAACTCTCAGAGCCAACCCAAACATTCTGAATCAGAATATTCCTCTCTAGTTAAGATTCCGAGGCAATTGGCAGGCAAATTCAGATTTGAAAAGCAATGACACATGTGATTTTGAGCAAGCTGGTATCTGACATCACAACAGAAACAGATCCATCAAGTCTTACAAGGAAGGCAAGAGCACATGTGAACTGCTTTAAAGAACCCTTGGAGGGGCATCCAGGAAATCATGGGGCACCAGCTCAACAGGTGGGCTCGAGCACATGTTCTGTGGGCAGGAGACTCGGACTCAGTACCTGGCTCTACATAGCCCTCAAACACTAAAGTAGGAGTAGCCCCTAACAACTGCCAGATGAGGCCCAAAATGCATCATGCATGTGTATATACGGGTTCTCTCTCTCTCTCTCTCTCTCTCTCTCTCTCTCTCCCCCTTTCTTCCTCCCTCTCTCCCTCTCCCTAGCTCTAACTTGAAAACCTCGCCTGCTAACTTGATATGGCAAACCGCCAACTCCTAGCACAGCTTCAGCAAACTGAGTCACAGTGAGACTGGTCAGTTAAGAATACGGAGGTACCGAATGTTTAATCATCCTTTCGGCCAGGCAAACCACAGCATGCAGGTCAACCACCCCTGGCGGGCTGTTTCAGTGAGGAGCGTTCTACTGGAACACAGCTACACCTACTCCTAGGCCTGTGTCCCTACTACAGCTGCAGGCCTGAGACAGCACAGCCTGCAAAGCTGAAAAGATTCCACTGACCTCCTGGCAGTGAGCCACAAAGATCTCTGCAGAAAGGCTGATGTTATCTTGCTCTGATTAGATGCCTCTGACTGGTAAGAGAAACAGCAATAACGAAGGTCTGATCCTTGGCACTCCCAGGACTGATCCCTGAGCACCACTCAAAAACTACAATTAAAGTAGTCCCCATTAGAAATTTTAAAGCAAGATATTACAGGGGTCAGGGAGAAGGCTGGAGCACATACTTTGCAGCTAAGCACTGAGCTCCTGAACACTAAGCAAACAGATACAACAAGCCGTTACCTTTGTAGCCAGCATCTGCTGCTGGGCCTCGATCTGCTGCTGCTGGCGGGATGCCATTTCCTGAAGTTCAGAAAGAGTCAGATCCATCCTGGGATTATTCACCTACAGAGAAAGAATCCCACTCACTCTAAAAGGATCAGAGAGAGTCCTCACTAAAGCTGTGCTTGCAAGTTTGCCCCTAAAATAATCGTGACAAAATTACGTAGCAATTTTAAATTAGATTCGACAGTGACATACATGGAGAAACTCCGAACTACCTTGCTCTGTAGCTAACATCACTGGAAAGAAGCATTTGAAGTTACTGCACATGACAACCAGGCATTGGCACCAAATCTAAAATATCGTGGCCCCAACACCCTTTAACTATAGTATGACATTAGCATTAAACCATTTAAGATGGGGCTAGAGAGATAGTAAAGAGGGTTAAGGAGCTTGTCTTGCATGCAGCTGACCCTGGTTCAACTGCCAGCACTATATAAGGTCCCACAGAACCACCAGGGGTGAACCCTGAGCACAGAGCCAGGACATGAATTCAACACATGAATTTGGTAACCAACAGAATGTGGTACTGGTGTTAAGACAGATACAAAGATCTGTGGAAGAGCTGAGTGAGTACAATAATAAATGCAAACTTATGTGGCATAACAGTTTTAGATGAAAGCACAAAGGCAACTGAATGGAGAAAGGCCAGGCTTTCCAACAATTAATAAAAAAAAGAATAACTGGCACAACAAGAATATCCATAAACAGAAAACTGAAACTTCAATTTTCATACCACACACAAATGTTAACTCAAAATGGACTATAAACTTAAATGTAAGAGTTAAAACTATAAAACATCTAACCAAAAATATGACTGAAATTAAAAGTAACAGAAAGGAAAAAATACTTGCAAATGATATGTCTAATAAAAGAATGCTTGAGGGCTGGAGAGATAGTACAATAGGCACGGCGATTGCCTTGTATGCGAGCCAATCTGGGTAATTTCGCAGGGACCCTATATGGTCCCCCAATCTTTCCAGGAGTGATCCATGAGAGAAGAGCCAGGAGTGAGACCTGGGCATAGCTGGGTAAGGCCCCAAAACTCAGAAATAAAAATAAGGAGCAAAAGAACTGAACAAGTATTTCACTAAAGAAGATACAAAAACAGCAAGTAAACACATCAAAAGGATTCTAATATTATTAGCCATTAGAGAAATACAAGTAAAATCACAATGTAGTAACACTATCTATATTCTAGATAAACAAAACAAAAAGGATTGAACTAATATATTAAATTTTGGAAAAGTTGTGGAAAACAAACTCTCCGGTGGTAATGTAAAATAATTTGGAAATATCCCTTTGGGTTGGAGCAATAGCACAGTGTTTGCCTTGCATGCAGCGCCAACATGGCCAACCCGAGTTGGCTCCGTCCCTCTCAGAGAGCCCGGCAAGCTATCGAGAGTATGGAGCCCACACGGTAAAGCCTGGCAAGCTACCCGTGACGTATTCGATATACCAAACACAGTAACAAGTCTCACAATGTTACTGGGCCCGCTCCAGAAAATCGATGAACAACGGGAGGATAGTGACAGTGATCCCTTTGGAAATAAATAATAAAAAAATATTATTTCTCAAAAAATTTAGAAGCTTCTCAAAAAATTAATATATACACCTTGTATCTCAAATATTCCACTACTGTGCATTGTACTCAAGAGAAATTCTAGCATATATCTTCAAAAAAATTGTCCAAATATTCATACCAGTTTAACATGAGGTGCTCCAAACTATAACAATCCAAATGTCCATGAACAGTTGAGTGGATAAACAAATTCTGATACACCCACACAATAAATGTCTCTCAGCAATAAAAAATTAGGTTTGGGGCTAGAGCGAGAGCACAGCGGGTAGGGCATTTGCCTTGCACGCAGCCAACCAGATTCGATTCTCAGCATCCCATATGGTCCCCTGAGCATCGCCAGGAGTAATTCCTGAATGCAGAGCCAGGAGTGAACCCTGTGCATTGCTGGTTGTAACCCAAAATGCAAAAAAAAAAAAAAGTTGGAGTGATAGTACAGTGGGTAAGGTGTCTGCCTTGCACACAGCCAACCGGGTTTGATCTCCTGTATCCCAGATAGTCCCCAGGCACAGAGCCAGGAGTGAGCCCTGAGCACTGCTGGGTGTGGCTCCCCCCAAAAACTTAGGTACTGGTAATACATATAACAAGATATGTGAATCTCAACATTATTATGTGGTACGTAGTGGTTAGCAGAGCTGCTTCCCAAAATAATTATGCTGAGTGCATTTAGACAAAAATATTAAGTGATACCATTTATATAGATCCTGAAAAATATAACTAATTTATGCTGAGAGAAAGTAGACCAGTTCGAGGATCCCTGAACTGGTTGGAGGTTGGAGGTAAGGTGAAAAGAATCATTATGAAACACTGAGTTGAGGGGTATTCTCATGTTCTTGATGCTGGTGACAGTTTCATGAAATATACATATGTCAAACTTTACGGGGTTCGTTAAATATGTGCAGTTTACGACAATCACACTTCCGAAAGTTTTTTGAAAAAAAATTGATAACATTGTGTGTTTCCATCCAATTAATGGCTAAGACCATTTCCATCCAGTCTTTCCTATCTACAAGATCAAAGAAAAGAAACAGGAAGAGTTTGAAGAATGGCACAGTAAGAGCAAAGGGTACTTTTGATAAGCCAGATTATAATAAAAATCTGTTGAAGACTGGAGAAAGGCAAATTTGCTAACCCCTAAGTGTAAAAATTCTAAGTCTGAGCCAGAGTGAAAGTACAACAGGTAGTATCTTTGCCTGTACATGGCTGACCTGGGTTTGATCCCTGGCACCCTACAAAGTTCCCCTAGCCTTACCAGAAGTGATCTGTAAGTACAGAGGCAGGAATAAGCCTGAGCACCAGCGGGGGTAGCACATACTCCACAAAAAAAAAAAAAATTGTAAGTTTTAATAATAGCAAGAGCATGACTATGTAATTTTCAATTTTTCTTAAAGCAATTACAACAAATAAATTGGTCATCCCCCCAAAAAATATTTCCTTAAACTTGTTCAACCTTTCTTCTGTTCTGAATCCCTTATACTTATTCAACATTTAAGTTTGTTCAATAACTAGCCAAGTGGAGATCATTAAAAAAAAAAAATTAGTTTCTGGGGCCGGAGCAATAGTACAATGGATAAGGTACTTGCCTTGTACTAGGCTGACTTGGGTTCAATCTCCAGCATCCCACATGGTCCCAAGTGTGTGCAGTAGTGAACCCTAAGCACAGAGCCAGTAGTCACCCCTGAGCACCACCAAGTGTGGCACACACACAGAAATTAGCTTCTGTAAAATGTTAAGCTTTTTTAAAAAAAGGCTAATAATTCACTGAATAACAAAGTAGTAATGAATGAGTTGTAAAAAGTATCACTGTCACACCAACAGCACAGGTGAAAATGCTTACTTACCCCATTCTCCTTTCTTCTCTGTTCACCAGGTACTTTTACACCATTTCTTTTTAAACTTGGATCCTGAGACCTTGGTCCACTAACTATAAACAGAAAATTAAAAAGACATACATTATGACAAGTGAATAGACAATGGAAATATTCACACTTGAGTGCTTTGTGTGTGAGTGTGTATGCACACACGTGTGTAAGCTCAAGCACATGCTATGCATTCAATCCAGGATCTCACACATACACAGCATGTATGTATGAGCCACATCCACTGGTCCCTGTTATGGAATTTTGATCCTCTAAGTTGCGAGCATAATTACAACTAAATATTTTCCTGTGAAAGTGGAGGTAAAGTCTCGTAATTTCACCTGTGTGGGAAAACCAATAACTTAAAACAATGAATGATTAGCATTAAAAAATAATCCACGCTAATTATTCCCAAAGAAAACTCCGTAATTCTGATACCAAAAGAGGAAAAATGAACAAAATTAATACCCTTCTGATGATGAGTAATTCATACCAGGTGCCTATAGTTGTTCCTCCTAGTTCTCAATTTAGCTTGGCTACTTATTAATGAAATCAGATTAATTCAAAGAAATAAATTAGGGGCTGGAGTGACAGAACAGTGAGTAGGATGCCGGCCTTAAGCACACCTGACTCAGGTTTGATCCCAGCACCTCATAGGTCCTGAGCCTGCCAGGACTGATCCCTGAGTGCAGAGCCATGAATAAGCCCTGATCACCTTTGCGTGTGGACCCAAAATAAAACAAAAAGAAATTAAAATTAAATCAATCCATCCTTATGCTCAAGAGTGTAACCTGTAGAGAAAGGGAGTAACTGAAGACAGCACAAACAGTATTTTGAATATCTGAATTATTGAAAACATTTTGTGCTAATTCATAAGTACTAAAAAGTACTTTCCATGTATTTAAGTAAAAAAAAAAATCCATTTTCTTAGTTTAGGAAAATAGAAACAATGGGTATTCCTCATTTCTGTCTAAAAAAAACTTCAGGTTAAAATATTTGGGTCTCACAGAACTACCCAACACATCATAAAGAGAAGAGAGTCTTAAAACTTACACATCGGGAGCCAGAGATATAGTACAGAAGGTAGGCGTTTGCCTCGCACATGGCCCACCCAAGTTCAATCTCCGGCATCCCATGAGGTCCCCTGAGCCGAGGAGGAGTGATTACTGAGCACAGAGCCAGGAGTTTACCCCTGAATATGACTAGGCATGACCCCAAAAACAAAATAAAATAATTAATTAAATAAAACATACATCTGTAAGAACACAAACGGTATCAACAGCTAAAAGATAGTGGATGGTTAGAGGGATGGGTACTCGATCATTGTATAACTGAAACCCAAGCACAAAAATTTGTAAGTCTACAACTGTACCTCATGTTGTTTCACTAACAAAAATTAAAAAAAAAAAATTTTTAAACAAATAAATTAAAATTTAAAAAAAAAAAAAGACAGTGAATTCCTGGACTTCCCAGGTAGGAGAATCAGGACGCTGTTCCCTAAGCTATTTCAGACTCAGGGACCAGGGAGCTAACGTAGGCAGCTGGGATACAGCAGTCTTGCCTGGGCAAGGACTGGAGTTCCATCCCTGGCACTGCATGACCCGACACCCAGTCCCCCAGCCCTGCAGAGTGCTGGTTCTGGAGGCTCCCAGCACGGCTATGTCTGGTGGCCAAACATCGCTGGAAGCAGTTCCTGGGTCCCTTAGGCTGTTTGGGAGGCCCCTTCCCCAACATTTCAGGTGACCAATCCTCGAGTAAGCCCTAAGAAGCTCTAGACATGGCACCTAAGTACAGTACATAAATCAGAATTTATTTGTGGGGTCAGGGAGAGAGTTCAGGGATGAAGGTACGCGCCTTTCACTCTCACGGCCTCTGCTCATTCCCCCGCTGTGTGGCAAAGGCAGCACCACATCCTCAGGGCCTCGCACTGGGCCCAGCGTTCTGGGCCAAGAACCACCAGCAGCTGGTGCCTGGGTACACACCGCCCTCCCACGTTTACTGATTAAACTTCCTGAGAGTCGAGGATAGAGGAGGAGCCAGTTCTTCTCCTCCCCCACCTAGACGGGACCCTGAGATGCCGCCCATAAATGCCCCTCCACTCACACTTATTAAGCTCCTTAACACAAACGAATCTCGGAATCTCTTGGCAGAAATCTCTCCAAACCTATTTATTAAAATTTTAGAATTCCAAGATCGCACAGCTGCAACTATTCATAACCAGCAGTAGAAAACAAATTGTCTCATGTTGCCTTTTCGGCAGGTCTGAGTATTGATGGAAAATTCCAAATAATAATGGTGAGACTGGTATTAAAATATTGAATGTCATCAAAGTACAGAGAGTAATGTGGAAATTATATGCCACACAGGCAGGGGTAGGGGTGGGATGGGGGTATACTGGGATTTTTGGATGGGTGTCTGATCATTGTATGACCGAGACTCAAACACAAAAGCTTTGTAACTGTTCTCACGTGATTCAATAAATAAATTTAAAAAATAAATAAATAAAGTTCCTGTGAGGGGTCTGGCACTGCTGAGTGGTGGTGTGGTCCCCAGCACGGTACCACCCATGGTAAAATTCATGTGGGGCTCCCAGCACCAAACTGTCAATGGCCACAGGCCACCTTAGCACGTGGAAGCCTTATGTGCGACCTTCTGGTAGGGACCACAATTAGCACATGGGCATCAAACGTCACTGGGTAACCCACACTGACCGCCATGACCAGCAAGAACGCAAGCACTGCCTCTGAGTGTGTAACCTCTGGTCAGCATCAGGACCAACCTGTGACCTCCCCACCTCCACCCCATCGGGCACCGCGGCTCAGTGTGGGAATACCAGAACCCAAACGTGCTGTCCAGCCCCCTTATCACAGTGACAACAATAGAGGGAAAGGAGAAGAATCAATCTTTTCTTTCCTTTTTTTTTTAAGTCTTAAAATTTCTTTGGAATCAAATGTCCATTGTTCCTCTCTTGAACTTAGCACAAATTCCCATGCTAATAAATCAGTGTCTGTCCTTAACTTTATCTTTAAAATACTGCTCAATTCTCGGGAGGAAGTGCTCTGGTCATCTATCACAATGTTTCTGAAAAAGAATAAAAATGTATCACTTCAGAAGAACTGCTTTCTGGGGCCAGAGCAATAGTACAGCAGGTAGGGTGTTTGCCTTCCACACAGCTTACTAGAGTTGAATCCCCAGCACCCATATGGTCCCTCCACCCACCGAGCACCCCCAGAAGTGATCACTGGGTGCAGAGCCAGGAGTAAGCCCTGAGAACTGTTAGGTGTAGCCCAAAAAAATCAAACAAATAGCAACAACAACAACAACAACAACTGCACTGCATTGCATTATCCTCCCGTTGTTCATCGATTTGCTCAACTGGGCCCAGTAACGTTTCCATTGTGAGACTTGTTGTTACTGTGTTTGGCATATTGAATACATCACGGTTAGCTTGCCAGGCTTTGTGTGCGGGCGAGATACTCTCAGTAGCTTGCTGGGCTCTCCGAGAGGGGCAGAGGAATCAAACTCAGGTTGGCCAAGTCGGCCACATGCAAGGCAAACAGCCTACCCGCTGTACTATCGCTCCAGCCCAACAAAACAAATTAAAAAACTAACTGCATATACATTCTGAGTCACAGTTCCTAGTTAAACTGGAGGGAAAAACAAAACAAAACAGGTAAGTCTCCTAAAGTGTAATCTAAAATTCTGTAAAAATGTTTACTACCACCTTAATGGAAATTAAAAAGCAATTCAGTTTTATCCCAATTTAAACACTAAAGTGGCACTGGTGTTTTGCAACAATGTAAAAACTGCTCCATTATCTTTCAGATGATATTTCTCACATTACAGACAAAGCGAAACAGAGGTATTCTACTATTGAGAGACTACTGAATAATTCACCCATTGCTATGCAGGAAGATACTTGAACTGGGAGAAGAACTTCAGGTAAAATTCAACATATTTATCAGAAGAGGCTACCTGCAGTGATACGTGTAAATAAACAACATAAAATCAGATACAAATGCCAACTTTAAAATACAGTAAATAAATAAATAAAATACAGTAAAGGCAGCTTAGGGACAAAGAGTAGGGGCGTATTTAAAATAAAGAAGCAGACCCAGAGGTACTGAACAGACGTGGAAGTCAGCCCAGCTGAGAAAGAGGATGCGGTTCCATTCCTGGCCAGGCCTCTAGGCCTATGGCCTCTGACCAGTCACCTGACCCAGAGCATTAGCAGTTCTCATCAGCAGAGTGGAATAGGAACACCTGATCCATTCTGAAGTCCCCAGGCTATCTGACTGTATTCAATTCTATTAAGTCAGACGGAATAAACTCTAATTTCTGAACACCCTCCAGACTTGTGTTAAAGCAGTGAAGATAAAATTTATTATGACAGCATCTCAAACTTAACACGGTGTTTATATTCATAGTCCCCAAAGCTTTATGTTAGAGGTACAAACCCTCGATTTTCCATTCTGAAAGGCCCAACAGTTTTCAAAAGACCTTGTAAATCTGCTTCCATCAGTAACTTCCCACAAAGAATAAAGCTTCCTGAACGACAAGTTTGCAGGAGCTTGTTCTCCACGCTCTCATTAGTTCTCAAAGGCCTCCGGGTCACAGGGACAGAGACTGCTACAGTTCATCTTTATTCCAGCTCATGCACAGCCTGGGACCACATCCCCTACAAGTGCCCGACCCCTGACATCTTAAAGTCAAATGTTTTACTATCATTTCCTCTCACCTTCCCTGTCCACTAAACCTAAGACCCATGGTCCTTTACCCCTGGGCACTGTTTTATTCCTCATCTTCATTTGTTCCTCATCTGTGTTCAATGTCATTTGCCAATATATCCTCTTTTCTTCTACCCCACTGACTTTCCACTGAATTGATGAGGCCAAACCCCAACCTTGCATCAATCCTACCTTCTTTCCCCCTTTACAACCTACTGGGCTCCTGGGCACTGCTGGAGGAAAACCACCCATGTTCTCCTGGTCTCTCATCTCTACCGGGTCTTCAGGGTGCCAGCAAGCAGGCTACTTAGGAGGGCAGGTCTCTTGGCCCCACCACAGCTCCAACTGCTGGCACATATCCACCATCATTTTCAGATGCCTTTGTCTCCTGCCTCGAATCAAATAAGTGCTCTGGGGTGAGAAGCCCCTCAATTCGCTCTCACAGTGACCGCCAGCTGCAGTTTTCTCCCTGTTACAAGGGAAGAGGATTCCCTCCTTGGCCTCAAATCTCCTCACCAGGGCAGTGGAAGTGAGCACTCTCTCTCAAAGACACGCCATCCAACCTTTCCACCCTTGCTTGGACATCACCAGCTTGCTCTGTTGACAACTTCCCACTTGATAGCTTTTAAAACTATCATTAGGACTGGAGTGATAATATAGCAGGTAGGGCGTTTGCCTTGCACACAGCCAACCTGGGTTCAATCCCTGGCACCCATATTATCCCACAAGCACTGCCAGTACTGATCACTGAGAGCCAGGAGTAATCCCTGAGCACTGCCAGGTGTAGCCCCCAAACAAAGCAATAACAAAAACAAAACTCCCAGAGTCCAAGAAGACAAGATCAAACCAAATATTTATCCAGCAGCCCCCCAAATTGGCGCTTGTACAGGGAAGAGCAGCCTCTCTTTACTGTGTCCATTTCCTGCCCTTTCAATCACCCCCTCAAATCATCCGACCCCCAACACAAGACCCCTCTCCCAAAGCTACTGGAACACACAGAATCGAAGTTCAGATGGGTACCGTGACTCAGAGGAGATGCTTACCCATGTCCCTGCCGGGTGGGCGCTCGTGACGGAGAAAGAAACGAACATCACTCCTCTGACTTCCGAATCGCTGAAGAACATCGAACATGCGCTCATTATCAGCCACTGGTCGCTCTTGCAGAAAAAAAAAAAAGAGAAAACCCATTCAGTCAACACAACCATTGACAATTCCTGTTTCTGCACACTATACATTAGCAACATAGGAAATACCATCTTGCAAACATTTTTTCATTAACAGAACTCAAAGAAATATCACACATTTCCCACTTATATTATCAGTATCAAACCAAGGAAAAGTGCTGAGGGAAAAAGCAAAGCATCTCAGTTTCTGCAGCCCATCTTATAAAATGGTCTCTGAAGTTCTGTCTAATGCTAATGTTTCTATGAATGTCTACGTTCACAGGTGGAAATTTTTAATTTCTAAGTAGCATGCTATTATTTTCTATTAGGTAAATTTTTCATTTGAATGCTTAAAATTATGCTACAGGGGCAGAGAGGCAGTGCAGTGGGTAGACACTTGCCTTGGTTTGATCCCCAACACCCCAAATGGTCCCCTGAGCACCACTTTGGAGTGATTTCTGAGTGCAGAGCAAACAGTAATCCTGAGCATTGCCAAACGTGACCCAAAAACCAAAACAAAACACAAATATATTACAAAATCAGATATTTGAGTCCTTTTATTTTACTTTTTTTGCTTTTGGGGTTACTCCTGGCGATGCTCAGGGGTTATTCCTGGCTCTGTATTCAGGAATTACTCCTGGCGATGCTCAGGGGACCGTACGCAATGGGGGGACTGAACCTGGTCAAGCACGGGTAAGGCAAATGCCCTACTTGCTATACTATCACTCTGGTCCCTTGAATCCTTTTTAGGAAATGATTTACTATAATGAGACAGATTTTCTTGACTCTTCTTTCAGTATGTCAGTCCTGAGGACTTCCGTGTAACAAGAAAAGCATCAGTCCTAAGGACTGAGTAACAAGAAAAGCACAGCTAATATCCCAAGAAACAAAAGCTTTAGGAGTAACTATATATCCTCAGCTTTTCTTAAGAAAATTTCAAGTCACAAGGGATCTACAAATAAAACCCAAAACTCATCAGTTAAAATAAAATTTATTCCAGTAATGCCAAGACAGTTTTTAAACTGGTGAACACTGAAAGAGTCAACTCCCTCACCCCACCCTACACAAAGCATATACACCCAATACTTCTATTTAAAAAGCTGAGGTGGGGCCAGAGCAATAGTACAACTGGTAAGGTGCTCACCTTGCACTCGGCCGACAGGGTTTGATTTCCAGTATCCCATATGGTCCCCCTAGCACCCGTGAAGAGCCAGGAGTAACCCCTGAGCATTTCTGGGTGTGACTCAAAACAAAATAAATAAATAAATGTCGAAAGGTGAAATCCCCAAGTTCTAAGGCCAAAGAGAGAACTCAAGAAAAAGAAATAATTTCCAATTCATGCTAAAATGAGCCTTCAGGAGCTGAGTCCTGATGGTCTATAAGCAAAGATCATACTGCACACGCTGGAAAAGAATCCAAAGCTTCCCCCAAGCCCCCTACTAACACCTGTCTCCGGTTCACACCCAGAAGCTTTTGCATGCACCATCCCAGCACTAACAATGGTCCCACGCCCCACTGCTTCTGCAAAGTGGACACACAACTAACTACCTATTACAGCTGTGACAGTTTCAGCAACACCCATGACTATTTCTTGGATTACAGTCATGTGCTAAGAACTACACTTGATTGTGAGTTACAGAGAGGTGAAAGTTACTTGTTTTCCATAGTCACTAAGCAAACAAATGAGTAGGGAAGTGGAGATAGCGAATAAAAATGACTCACTTAAAAAGAATGTTGGTTAAAAAAATAATGGGAATGAAAAAGTAACAGAAAAGAAAGCAGGTATTTTAAAAATAAGTCACCTTCAACAATTTGCAATTAAAAAACTATGGGGAGGGTTTCTGAAAACAGAGAGCTAGTACCTACTGAGAACTAACATTAAATGTGTCAGAGCATATGCGAAGTCCCCTTCAAATATTATCTCCTAGAATCCTTACACAGGTTTCTGAGCTAGCACACCCGGTGCTCAGGAATCACGCCTGGCGGCCCAGGGAACCATATGGGGTGCCAGGGATGGTGCCAGGGTTAGAACTAGGATTGTTCAGGTACTGAACAAACACTTTAAACCTTGCGCTTATCTCTTTGGTCGCTAGGTCAGAGGTTTTTTAAGGGCCTACGAATCAAAAGAAAAGAGGCAGAAGCTAAAAGAAACTAGAGAAAAAGTTACAAATAAACAAATCTCAATGAAAAGCAATCCACAAACTTTTAATATGGGTGACCTCAGTTACCAGTTTGGTAATAAATAAATAAATATTTACATAATTATTTATAGAGCTAAAGAGACAGTAGAGAGGTGATGGCATTTGCCTTGAATGCAGCCCATCCGAGATCTGTCCTCAGTACCATATACTTGCATCACCAGGAATGCACACCAAGTGTTGCCAAAAACAAATGGATAATACTTTAGAATGAACAATTTATTAATATTGAATAATGGGTAATGATAAATACTTAAAAATAACTGGTAAAAATAAGAACACACATGCACACACATATACACATTTATATAGATATACAGCTTTTTTTTGAGAAGACTAGCAAATCTATATTACATTTTAAAAATATGTGAACCTTTAACCAAACAACTCCATTTCTAGGTGGCTCTCTAAATACATGCAGATTCTGTAGCCAGAGAAACAGTACAGGGGTTTAAGCACCTACCACAGACCCAGTCCAATCATGTCACCACATATGTTCCCCTGAGCAGTGCCACGAGTGATCCCTGAGCACAGAGCCAGGAACAGCATCTGAACTACTGGTCCAAACGTTCCCCCACCCCAAAGCCAAATAAATATATTCTAAGTGAGAGCAGCAGGGTGGGCTTGGAGAAGAAACTTCCCTTCTAGCTATATTATGTATTCTCCAAAACAAAACGTGCTATGCAAAAATAACACATTTGGGTTATTAATAAAAATATATGAAAGAAAATCCTTTCAATATCATCATCACAGAGTAAAAGTTACAGAACACAACTGAGCAATCCCCCAGAGAGGAAAGGGAACAGGAAGACCCAACGGTTCTGATGGAAGAAAGGACAGGTGCACATGCAGAGAAGCTAGGATTCATCCAGAGGAAGGAAATGGGAAGATTATAGTGGATGGTTCAACTATTCCAGTCAAGCAGAAATAAGGTATCCTGCTGAACACAAGTAAACTACCAGAGGCTACAGCTCATTAAATCAGAGCAAATATTCATTGAAGCCCTATTAGATACCAGGCACACTTCCTGAGTTACGGAGCTACAGCAGTAAGCAAGATAAGCTAAATCTCTACTCTAAACTTACATTATAATTCATGTGTTTGGGCTGCAGGAATTACAAGAGGCAATAAACTAACAAACCAGAGGTTCCCAAACCTATGTAACCTAAAGCTTCCCTTTAGGAGGGGGGAAAAGCACTCAGCGCCCCTCTCTCCCTGAAATCTAACCCTCATTAAGCAAACCAAAACTATCCCCCCAATTGCATCCAAGGCTCACCTACTTTGGAAAACATGATAATAAACGCACAAAATCATAATGACATGTGTTAAGCAAAGGATTCAAAGAGAAAGATAATAAGAGAATGTCATGCTAACTTTAGCAAGCTCAGGAAAAGTCTGTCCACAAAGGTGAAATTTTACCTGAAACCTAAATAACTAGAAGGAACCAGCAGTGACAAAATCTGGAGGAACACATTAGGAACACAGTGGGACAAGGAACACCAATTACTCTCAGGCAGAAGGCAGCTTCGTTTATTAAGGAATAAAAGTAAAAATATATGAGGGAACAAAGCAGAAAATGGTACCAGAGGACAGCAAAGACAACAAGCTCCTACCAAAGACTTCACAGTGTAAGATCAAAAGTTTGGATTTAGGGACTGGAGAGACAGGACAGTGGGTAGGGCACTTCCCTGGCATGTGACCAACTTGGGTTCGATCCCCAGCACTGCAAATGGCCCCTCAAGTTCCACCAGGGTAAGTCAGTCCTGAGCACAGAGCCAGGAGTAACCCCTGAGCATCGCCAGGTGTGGCCCAAAAACCAAAAAAAAAAAAAAGGTTTAGTTTAGTTCTCTTTAGAGGGGCCAGAGAATGCTCAACAAACTGAAGCACGTGCTTTGCCACAAGGTCCCATGAGCACTGCTGGGGGTGATGCCCAAACACATAACTGGATGCCCATGCGCAGCCAAGGGTAGTCCCCAAAACAAACAAAACTGTTTCTAAGTAGAAGGCCAGTAAGGAATCGAAGAAGGAGATTCAAACTGTCAACTTTCCACTTAAAAACAAAACGAAACAAAAAAGCTCAAAGCTGTAGCTTTGAGCTGAAGCAGGGCAGGGAATTTGCCCTGCACACAGCTAACCCAGGTTCAATCCTCAGCATCCCATAGGGTCCCCTGAGCCCTGCCAGGAGAAATTCCTGAGTGCAGAGCCAGAAGTAAAGTCCAGAACACCACCAGGTGTGGCCCAAAAACAAACCAAAAGAAAAGCTCAAAGCTTCCCTTTTAAAAACAAATTTTTTTGAGTCACAGACACCCGTATATGGAGAATCATGCAGAGCGAGGGACTGAACCCAGGACTGCCACATGGAAAGCAGGAAGCATGGACTCCAGTCCTCTGAGTCATCTCCATGACCCTTGCTTGGGGCATTTATTTTTTTCCTTTCTTGTTTGTGGGGCCACAACTGACTGTACTCAGGGAATATTCCCAGAAGCGCTTTCAGGCATCTATGCAATCTATGCAGTGCCGAGAACTGAACCCAAGGCCACACACGGAAGGTAGTGCTGCTCTACCACTGAGCCACATTCTCGGCTCTCACTAAGGTTCTAGCATGCAAAAGGTTTGCTCTATCTCCTGTGTAGAAAAAAGAGAACCAAGCAATCCGGGAATATACAGAAGACCTTTATGACACTCAACTGGAAGAAAAGCAGCCAGAGAGGAGTAAGAGAGAGTGTGCCGAAGTGTGTGCTCCAAAGTGAATGCTCTGGGGGAAGTCAGATGTCAGGGATGGTGGGACCCCAGTCACCAGTATTTAATTTCTGCTGGGTCTGGGAGAAAAGAAAGGGAAACTGTGGGAGTCCACCACGGCTATGTAGAAATGGGGCAGAAATTATAAAGCTCACTCCCCACCTACAGACTAAGGGTGCAAAAGAAAGCAGCCCATCCCATTTTAGAGCTCCAAACATTATAATGAGGGACTGACGTCCAGACGATAAAAATGCCTTTCTTTTCATCACTGAATCTGTCAGACATCATCTCTCAAACCACAAAGCTCCCCCAATAACCACACACCCAACATAGAAAATCTTACAGCAAAATAGACTGTCTCCAGGCTTTCTAATGAAGGGAAACTTAAGCACAGGAAACAGACTTTGTAAAAGCTGGGAATGTCAGTCAGTGGTAGAGGACATGGGTTTAATCCCTGGTGCAATAACAATAACTTTTTTGGTGGGGCAGCTGGAGCTCAAACCCAGGCCTCACACATGCAAGGCATGCACTCGACCACGGGGTCACATCCCGGGCCCTGAGACACAAACTTTTGAGAATCAGCATACAGTTGATCAAAATATGTACAAAGCTTCCAGGTGGTATAACGACCACCTGTCCTTCAATATCAATCCGGTGATATCTTCACTATCCTCACAAAAATGAAAATAGCAAAAACAGCTCTGGATGGACGTGCTTTTTTTTTCTGTTTTGGTTTGGTTTGGCTTGTACGGCTGTAGTATTCTCAGCAGTGCGTGGGGGGCAAGAGGTGCCAGGCACTGAACTCGAGGCCTCAGAAGCCAGGCCAGGTTCTGCTGCTTGAGCCACTTCCCTGGCCCTTTTCCACTGATAGCACAGCAGTAGGGCATTTGCCTTGCACATAGACAGCCCGTCCGAGCCAGGTTTGATTCCTCCACCCCTCTCAGAGAGCCCAGCAAGCTACCGAGAGTATCTCGACCGCACAGCAAAGCCTGGCAAGCTACCCGTGACATATTCGATATGCAAAATATAGTAACAACAAGTCTCAAAATGGAGACGTTACTGGGCCTGCTTGAGCAAATCCATAAACCATGGGAGGACAGCGTTTGTTTGTCTTCTGGAGAAAGCTGAGCATCACACACTGTCACGTTGAACAGCCTAGTACAATATAATAGAGTGAGACGAAGACACGAGGATGCCCCATACCTGAGCCGCACCACACTTCAGCCAAATGGCACTCGTTCTCCCCGGGCTCTTTGCACAAGTCCACCACGTCTCTGCACAGCGTTCCCGGGGTGACTGGGACTTCGGTGAAGTGCTGCTCGTTATTGCTGAGGTACACAGTCAGAAACATCTGAGGGCCAAGAGCAGAACAGGAGAGTTAGCAGCACTGACCCTGCGGAGAGCTTCCGCCCCTTCTGAGGCTGAACTTCCTTTCCACAACATCCAGCCAAACGTACAACAGAATAGGATGGTTGCCCCACTCCACCCCAGCAAAACTGGGGAAGGATTCAGAGCTCTACCAAGACCTGCCCCTCCGCCCTACCCACCTCCGCCCCCCCCACACCCCCCCACGCACAAAGCAGTACCAGTAAAATCCGTGAAAACTCTTGGGATACAACCAGAGCAGCTCATACAAAGTAATTTCATTTTATTTTGTTAACTTTCTACTAAATACTTAGGTAGCATCAATGTGCCAGGCCCATACTACAAATAGGTCTTCCCACCAATCTCATACAGGTGACTACGGGATGTCACACAGATTCTAATTAACCCAGGACTTCTTTTTGGAAAGATACAAAGAACATATTCATGATGCAGTGGAGGAAAGAATGTGAAAAAGGACACAAAAGATGGAAATCTAATATATATACCATGAGTATATTTATTTAATCACATATATTTCAGGGGGCTAGAGAGACAGTCAGGAATTTGCCTTGCCCCCAGCTGACCCGGGTCCCCAGCACTCCACATGGTCCCCTGGTACCACCAGGAGTGATACCAGAGCTCAGAGCCTGAAGTAAGGCCTGAGCGACACCAGGTATGGCCCCAAAATATACGTTTAAATCAACTTAAATGCCAACTTCCAAGCTATAAAGTTAAGTAAAACTGATTGGCTGTTATGCTAAATTTGATCTCAGTTGTATATAAATATTTAAGGTTACAAAGGATTGAAATATAACACTCATTAACTATCTTTCTTAAAAAGTGCCAGTCCTTCTTTCGAAGAAAGCAATACTCGCCATAGCCATGCCTCCTGACCCTGTGCCAAGCTGTTTCATTTGGGACGGACTGGGGGGGGGGGGGGGGGGCAGGTGAGGCCCCTCCCCATCCCATGGAACCCAGCCCTGGCAGCTGAAAACCCCCAGAACTCAACTACTACCATGCTCATGGCTGCTCCTCACACATGCAGGCTGAGCCTCACCCACGACTCACCCACGAGTGAACTTATTCTGGAGGTATGACATCTCATACTTCAGACCACTCAAATTCAATGGCAAAGCAAATCAGGAAACCCTTACATTCCATTCAATTTATTTTTTTTCTTTTTTTTCCCTCCCCCCCACCCAGCCCCCATCCCACCCTGCCTCTGTGGCAGGGCATTTCCCTCTCTCTCCTTTAGAGTGCCAAGGTCTGGAAAAGAGGCACTGAGTGGCAATCATGCTTGGTCGACAGTCTATCCTCAGCATGCTCTCCCATCGTGGGTGGATCCTCCCAACACCCTTCATTTGGTGTTCCCTTCTCTTTCTGAGCTCCCCCTTCCCCTAACATGTGTGGTTGTCCTCCGGGTCATTGAGTAAAATTCCTGGTACCAATCTCTGCCATACTTGGGTGTTAGTTTCCTATTTTGTTACATTCCATTCAATTTAGAACTCACCTACTCCACCAAATCGATATTATCAGGATTTGAAAAAATTAAACTGGAGCCAGAGAGAATGTATGCTGAAGGCGCTTGCCGCACCCATGGTCCAACCCTGGTTTGATCTCTGAGCTCTGCCAGTGTGGCCCAAACCCTACTCCCCAAATAAAATTAATAAAACTCTCTGAAAGAGGAAGATCTTAACTGATGAAAATAATTCTAATCAGAGAAAGAGAAGATGAAGACTAAGGAACATAAACCTGAGAGCCAGTGACTAGTTTAATAGTCTGAAAAAATAATGAGTTTATGTTAGAGAACAGAGAAAGCTGGGGTTTGGGCTAAGAAACTGCAGGATCGTATCACAGAACACAGACCAAGAGCACACTGTAAGACAACAATCTCCCCATTTCCCAGTGCAGCTTCCTCACACCCCATTACCCTATCAAAGAGAACAGCAGCATTGGGCTGTTCTTGGTCTCCATGCCCAAAAATGTCCCTAATCAGGGCTGATCCCTGCAAATCAAGAATATTGCATGGGAGCCGCAGGAACTTGCAGAGGAAGTGCAGAGACTTACCCAGCAAAGCTGCCCTCTCTGTGAGTTCATGCCCAGGCAGAGCTTTCTAGCTCCTGCAGCCGCCACTAACACCAGTTTTTCTTACTGAAATTTACTTTATTGTCTTTTCCCAGTAGTCTTAATGTTTCCTTAAAGCAGTTCAAGACTCCACTTCTTAGGCCACACAAACAGGCAGAACAGAAGATAACCCAGACAACTAAGTGACCCACACAAGTTATAATAATAGCTAAAGCTGAAACAAACTACAAAAATAATAATAATAATAACTGTATTTTTGTTTTTTGTTTTATGGGCCACACCCGACTGTATTCCAAGATCCCTCCTGGTGGGGTTCAGGGAACTCTATGTAGTGCCAGAGAGCAAACTAAGGTCAGTCACAGGTGAGACAAGTGTCTTAACCCCTGTATTTATCTCTCCAGCCTCATGAAAAATAACCCTTTTCCCAGTATGAACTCAAAAGCCTTCAAGCTGATTTTATCAAGTATTTTGAATTCTCATGAAATGTACTCCATGAAGATTCACAGTTGTTGGCCTCAAGTTAAGCAACAAGACCACACTTTAAAATCATTACATAAAAATCATAAAGCTTGGAAACCTGAAAATAATAACAGGAGCCAGAAAATTAGTCCAGGAAATTAAGGTTCTTGCCTTGCATGGGGCTGACCAGGGTTCGATCCCCAGCACCCTATATAGTCCTGAGCCCTGTCAGGAGTCTTCCCTGAATGGGCCTCCAACCAAAATGAAAAGAAAAGAGTAGAGTGGTGGGAAGGAGAGAGACCAAACTCACAGAAGTTCACCCTGCTGCTGTTCTGGCTGAAAGAAAACAGCATGATTTAATCATGGGGATTAAAAAATATAAAGAAGGTACACATTTTCTCTACTCTCCCCACCCACACTAAAACGTTTTTGAATTATTAGTGCGTCAAAACTGTTTTGGTTGCAAACATGAGGTGGAGAGGTATTTACTAAATTACAGAAATGTCGAACACAGAGCAGCTATACTAAACACACACCAGGCTGACAAATAATAGGCCATGACATAAAATAATAACGCCTCCCTCAGTGTGCTTTGTTCCTCGCAACACTTTCACACGACTCATCTTTGGGGCTAACCCCCGCTCTTGGAGGAGCAGAGCAAGGCTGATGTCCTCTCCGGAGGAAAAAGACTCAGCTGATATCTACTGCTGAGATATCCAAGATTTCTGCTCAACCAAGACAGGGGTCCCATTCTACTCTTCGGACCCATCGTTTACCCTTTAATGGGTACCTGAGAACAGGAAAATATTAGGAAACGCTCTCATTACACGCAGTAACCTAAGCTCTCCTTGAGATCTGTTCTGCGAGAAACAACAGCACTGCTTTCTTAAAAAGCAGAATGCAAAAAAGAAGGATGAGATAAATGTTCTTTCTGAGGGTAATTCCCCCACAGGGGGTTGAGGAGATTGCTCAAAGGGCTGGGGGGCCTGCCTTGCATGTGAGAAGCCCCAAGTTGGCACCACATGGCCTCCAGATCAGTGCCACCAGATTAGTCCTGGGGCTTCCTGAATATTGTTGGCTGAGACCTTGATAGCGCCCAGCCACCCACCCCCTGCTCTCCACGCCCTGCTACACCAGACCCAAACTCCCAAGACCAGCAAACCAGAAGGCCTGACACAGCATGGGCCTCTGATCACCCAGACAGGCCCGCAGGCTCTTAAGCACAGGAGAGGAGGTCCCACCTGAGATCCCACAGGGCTGAAGGCAAGAGCAGGAGGTGACCCCATGTCTACCTTTGGTGCATGAAGATTTAGCGCGGCTGCAACGTCTTTGCTATGTACTCATGTACTCGGTGCCGGGCCAGCAATGTGACATTGCCACGGCAGCCCAGCTGGGAGACGGGAGTTCGGAGCCTGGATCGGTTAATCATTAGTTCCACTACCTTGGGGAAAGTAATGCCACCTCTCTGATCTCCGCCTGCGTTTCAAAATAAGAGTCTTAACATGACCTGGGAGACTTCACTCGTTCCAGAAGCTTGCCGGTGTCAGGGTAAAAGTCAGCAGCATCGTGAAAAGGGAGCAATTCCCCTTGAATGGGGGGGTGGGGGGGTTGGGGGGACACAACTGGACAACTGGACAGAAAACACAGATTGGGGACTACATGGGGGTGGGAACTGGGGGTGAGGCGGAGCCAAGCAATTCAGAAGAGGGCGGAGAGTAAACTCAGGTGAAAACCCAGGGCGGGTCCTCTTTCTGACTGGAACTGGGATGTGGTTGTAAGGGAGAAGGAGAGCAAAGGGGGCTTTGTTTGGGATGAGTGATCGGCCTACACCAACAGCAGCAACTCATTACTTCTCCACCACCCCTTACTCCCTTCCCCTTCTCAGATCCCAGCACTGCCAGGGATGCACTGGCTGTTTGTAACACTCCTCTTTCCACTTCCCTCAGCTACTTGACGCAACTGTCACCTTTCCGCGCAACCTGCCTGGCCCCCCTTCCTAAAATTCCAGTACACCACCCACACACACACACAAAGACACACAACCCTGGTTTTAGTTATCTTTGTAAAGTCAGCAAGGCAACTTGTACTCTAACTTGTTTGTATTATGTCTTCCCTGTTTGAATGGAAGCAACCCACTAGCAAAGGTTTTGTCTGTGCTCAAGGTTGTGTCCTCAGCACCTCAAACTACTCCTTTCGGATTCTTTTCAGAGAAGTGCCTTGGGGCCTACAGTCCACAGAACCACTATGCAAGGACCAAGGAAGCAGCTCAGAGGAAGAGCGTTGGCCTTGAATCTGGTTCAATTCCAGGCATAAAAATGGAAAAAGCAAATGAGAGTAAAAAGAAGGAAGGGAGGAAGGGAGGGAAGGAGGGAAAGAAACGGGAGCAAAGCAATAGCACTTTGTACAAGGCTGAGCTGGTCCAATCTCAGGCACAACATATGG